GTAAAAGTTTAAAAAATAGGCTTCAGTTGTCATTGATTGAAAGTAGGTCATTTAACTTTAGTCGCTAAAGGTTTGAAAAGAAAAAAAAGAAGAAGAGAGACGAAGTAATGTGTAAATAAGGCAAAGCAACATGCAATTCTCCACAACACACAAGGCCAACAAGCAATCCTCAACATTCAATTATTTCAAGCATAGAAGTTATGTTTATGTCATTAAAAAGTTCAGAGTCTCATACTGAAGCCAATTGTAGTAAAGATGAAGAAATGCAAAATTATGAACTTGTAGGATCATGCTCTAAATAATAAGGCACAAGAGTTGTACCTAAGGCATTTTCTAAGTGTAGAAAAGAGACATATAGGATCTAAGAATATGATTCAAAGTCTCTAACCTAAGGTAAGTGATTCAAAGACTAAGTATTCATTCTAAGTATTTAAGCATTTACTTAGAACTAAGATATGCATACAATCTAGTTTCATTTAATTCTAAGAAGTCTAATTAGTCATGTTATTATTTATTTCTAAGTTAAATAAGTATTTAACTAATCCTAATCTGATTGAATATGCAACTTAATTAAATTTAAGTTAATTTTGCAATTGATTAAATCTTAAATTAATTGTGCTTTAATTTATTCCTAATCATGCATCTAATTAATCGTATGTAATTAGTTGAACCTAAATGATCATGCATTCAACTAAATAATTCTAGGCCAATGACTAATTACTTCTAATTGATCATGCAATTATTTAATTAATTCTAATACTAGCAAATGAAGCAAGTAGAAAAACTCAAAGAGAAACACCCCCTAAAAGAAGCAATCAATCAAGAATTCAAGTTTGGGGAATTAAATCAAGGAAAAAATTCTAAAAGTACTATGAAAAAGCCTTGCCAAAGTATCTCTAAATTTTGAGCTAGTGAAGAAACTTCAAGATTAATCTCCCTTTACAAATAAAAAAAATTTTTGATATAAATGAAAATCTTGATATTATGCATTCTCTATGCTTTTTGTCTATTCAACTAAATAATTCTAGGCAATGACTAATACTTCTAATTGATCATGCAATTTATTTACATTAATTCTAATACTAGCACAATGCAAGCAAGTAGAAAACTCAAAGAGGAACACCCCTAAAAGAAGCAATCAATAAGAGTTCCAAGTCTTGGGAATTAAAATCATCAGGAAAAAAAATTCGTTAAAAGACTATGAAAAAAGCCTTGCCAAAGTATCTTTCTAAATTTTGAGCTAGTGAAGAAAATTTCAAGATTTAATCTCCCTTTACATAATAAAAAAAAATTTTTGATATAAATTTGGAAAATCTTGATATTATGGCATTCTCTATGCTTCTTTTTGGCTTCTATTTTTTTATGTTTTTCCTTTTGTTTTAGCTAAAATCTAATATTTACCCTTAACGCCGATTACAACCTGAATAAAAAGCCTCTCTGATCTTAAATTTATTGTCATTACATTTCAATTGGGAGGGAAGCGGATGACTAATTTTTCCTATAGAATGCTTGAATTTTTATATTGTTTAAACATCTTATTTAAGGCGTTAAATAATTTTGTGTTGAACAATTCATACCATATTCTATTTGGTCATAAGTTGACATGTTATTGGTGTTTTAAAAATCTTTATTACTTATGTCTTAAATTAAGAATGTTTATAACTTATGTTTAAATTAAGGAATGTGTTTTAGTGAAAAGTGAATTTTTACTGAAATATAATTAGCATAAGCAACACTTAATTTATTTTCATGTTAATGATTTTGATACTTTTGAAATTGTAAATAATTATCCCCAACTATATTAAAACTAGCTTTGTTAGTTTGTTTAGCTTGTATTTTAGTTTTTAGTTTTGTTTTGTTACTTGAGGACAAGCAACGGTTTAAGTTTGGGGAATTTTGATAAGTGTTATTTTTATAGTATTTTTAATATAATTTTATTTGTATTTTTAGTAATTTTAATTATTTTAGTTAGTTTTATTTAGTTTTATTTATATTTTTCATCAAAGCTTCCTTGAAAAATAATTTGCTTGATCTTATGGAAATTTGTAGGACTTTGGCACAGAAAAAAGTAAAATAAAGCAGAACACTCAGGTTCTAATATGCCCAGACCATGCAACTCAGCGCACCCGTGCTGGAATTAAGGAAAATCAGCATGGAGACTCAGGTCTTAGCACACCCAAGCCATGCTATATGGCACACCCGTGTCGCAAGAGGACATCAATCCAAAGGCGTGCTCACCTGAGCACGTTCCGTACTGCATCCCATCATGAAGACTCAGAGCCTAGCATGCCCTAGCCATGCTATGTGGCACGCCCATTCTACAGATTCTTCTCTAGACGTGCCCCTAAGCACGACCCGTGTTGAACATCCTTAGAACCCAGGCTTCTGCAAGCCCTGATTGTGCCAAATAGCACACCCGTGCTAAAGACCATATTTCGTATTTGGCCGAGAATGTCAGTTCCAGCCCATATAGCTTGTATGGACCCACATGAGATGCTTTTCTAATGTGCCAATCAAGTTTAAATCCTATTTAGACACTAGGAGAGTCCTAATTGGGAAGAAATACAAAGCCTAATAGTTTCCTATTTCCAAAAGATTTCTTACTCAATAAAGATTCACTTTCCTAAACGAACACGAAGATATTCTAGAAAGTCTATATAAATAAAGAGACTAGCCATAGTTGGTGGAATCCATTCATTGTATATTCCATTCATTGTATATTCCATCTGTAGTTCTATAATTTTTTGTTCTATTATTTTTTTTTTCTCTTTAAGACTTCAAGTGATCAAGCCTTGTGTCAAGATTCAAGGAAGCCGTCCACATTATTTGACTAGTTTTTATATCTAAACACTAAATCTTGTTTCTACTTTTCATTATTCACATTGATTATAGAATTATTATCAAGTTTAATTGAGTTTTATTTAATTATTATGTCGAACTAAACTCTCATATTAGGGATTTATGTAGCTTAATTTCTTTTCCAATTTATAGTATTAGATTTGTTTTACTTTGTTCAAAGTATAATTTATTATTGAACTTAATGCTTTCAGGCAATATTAGGATTAGCTAGCTTAAATTTCTTTTCCAATTTATGAGTATTAGATTTGTTTTACTTTTGTTCAAAGTATCCAATTTATTATTCGAACTTAATTTGCTTTCAGGCAGGAGTTTCTCCCCTGGACTTTGATTCTATTTCATTAATCACTATCGGCTGAGAACGTGGCTTCTTTTGCATCCACCTTGAAAAAAGGTAATAAATTACAAAATAATACACCATGCTCCAGAAGCCCTATAGGTTTGACTTCATGGGGGTTTTCATAAGTTAACAACCTTAAGCTATCAATTCATAAACAAACCATAAAATTAATGATTTAATTCATGTTTGATTGCACTATTGGAATATAGGTAATTAGACCGAGTTAAAATAGCTAAAAATACATCGGGAGAGCTTGTTAGTGATTTTAGAGTTGTTTCCCCTACTTGAACAATTAAAATTGATTAACAAACTAATAAGATAAATTAGATAGAATTATGTGAAGTCAAAATCCCTAATAGTTTTTAATCCCTGATTTCTTTTAATCAAAAATTGCTTGCTTGATTTCTTTTTATTATCTTTATTTGTCGAATTTAGTTTCTTAAAATAATTTCTCTAAATCGTAATAGCAGGTTAACACAATTTTGGTACTTGGTATACAATCCCTGTGGAAATGATACTCTTCTTATTCTATATTACTTGTTGTGATTTCGCACACTTGCGAAAATCACTATCAAATATCTTCATACTTTATCAATATTTGCTTATCCAAGACACAAATGAAACATATATATGCAATACTACCATTAAGCCAAAGACTTTGCATTTCGTGTCACATAAAACCGCACGAAAAAAAAAAATCAAGAATACAATTTATAATGGGTTTCAGAACATTCCTCTTTCATTTCCCCCTTAATTACAATTCAAAACAACTGCATTACCAATTGCATTTTACTGTAACTTCCATACATTCATCACATTACATGTTATAGTTGTAAAAGCCAAAGGGATTTGAGTTTCATACCTTCAAATGTTTTGCAGCAGCTTCTCTTTCTCCTTTTGGCTTTAATCTCCCAAATTATCTAACTCAAACTTTCTACCCATTCAGGCCATTAATATGCAATTCGAACATCATTGCCCCTCAATAATCATAGAAAACTATCCATTAATTTATCATTGTCAGTCGATGCCTTCTCGGCCTTTAATTCCGCATTTCTTCTTCACTGCACTTTTATCCTAAATGATTTTCTTTGTTCTTAACTTTGCAACACCATCATCTCTTCAATTATGCTATGAAATTCCATCTTTACCCTTTCATTAATGAGTTTAATTTTCTAATACAACCCTCTAAAATGATTCAATCTTACTTAATACGCATTTGACTTTTATAGCCCACCATCCTCTTAATTTATTATCTGCATATCACCCTGAGTCGGGCTATATATATTTACCGTATATTAAATGATTTGAATGCACAGGCGTAGAGGTGGCCACGATTTTGGTTCTAAATAATGTGAAATTGGAATCGAACTAGAAACTGACTGTTTCGATTCCGATTTGAAACCGGCTGGTTATGGTTCTTCCTCAAGGGTTCTAAAACTAACGATTTCAGATAGTTATCGATCGATTTTTCGATTGTTTACATAATTTTTAAAATAAATATCCTTCAAACTAGACGTAACTTGCACAAATATCCTTAAAACTAGATATTATATAATCGTTTATAGTCGTTAAGACTTGGGAAGTAAGTGAAGATCTTAACAAAAACTTTTGAAAAAAAAAAAAATGTGTTAGAACCGACTGAAACCGTTGGTTCGAATCGGTTGTCAAAATGTTCAGTTTTGGCCGGTTCTCAAAACTACTGGTTTACGGTTCAAAAAAATTTAGAATTATAACTGAACCTCGACCCCAGGTTACGGTTATGGTTCTAGCGGGCTCTGGTTCTGCATGGTTTCGGTTCCAGTTCGGCGATTTCGATTCCAAAAACCTGATTTTGGCGACCCCTGCACCAGCGAGCCGAACTGTCTATATGCGCTCTTTAGATTATAGCAAATCCACCCATCTCGCATTGCCCGCGCTGTATCGACCTCAGTCTCAGTTTCAGTTTCAACGATCCAGAATTGAAGACTCTGTCTTTTCAGTGCTAGGGTTAACAGTATCTCCAGGGATTTCTTTCTTTCCTTTCTCTAGGTGCCGCTTGTCGTTAATTGTTCTATTCACATCTCCATTATTCTAATTAGATACGTTCACTTGCTCGGTTCTGAAAATTTCTGCCTTTTTCACTTTCTGTTAACTAAAAATCCATAATTACCTTTAACGTGCAGGAATATTTCCTATTTGTGCTTGAATCGGAATGGGAATTGGTTTCTTCTCATATTATTTATATTCAGACCCTCTTTGAAGATTTATTTTATTTTATATATTCGGTTTGAGAAAAATGGTGGAAAGGAAGCCCTTCAAGACTAAGTTATGTGTATTGTATCAGAAGGGTCACTGTCCGCGTCAGAATTGCTCCTTTGCGCATGGAAATGCTGAGCTTCGGCAATTTTCTGGTTCTTATAATGGTAAATTAGCTCCTTCTCGTGTCCCTCGGTTTCTGCCAATTGTAGTTTTATGCGTAAAGTCTCAGCATTTTTTGTTGTTATTTAGTTTTGTTTCGATTATTAAATCTTTATGCCTCAGTTGTATTTTTGTTTGATATATTTTCCAGTGATAGTTTTGAATGTGAGAATTGATTGCCGCTATCAACGTGGTTTTGATTCTTTTGAACATGTATTAGTCTTTCTGATTTTTCCTGGCTTTCAATGTTATTTTTTTAAAGACACTTCATCATTTTGTAGGTTTGGATGGAGGTTAGTTCTTTTTTAATTTTTGCTCCAGACTTGTCCACTGGATCTTGCTGCTTCCTTTCTTGGTTTATTCATGTTCTTCATTGCCAGAGCATTATGAAACAAGCTTTTTATGTCGCTCTCTCTCAATTTTTTTTAATTAATTTATTAATTTTTCTTTTGGTTTTTTAACTAAGCCATATTATGTTAATTTTCTTTATCTAAAATTTGTGTTGGGATGAAGGATTTGCATTTTTCAAATTATTTTGCCTGAGTCAGTGAAATGTCCAGATACATTGACCTATGAAATGCGTACAAGGAGATCATGGATTTATTGTTGTAGTGATTGGAGATGCAATCAAAACGCCTTCTGGAGATATGGGTTGCATCATATCAGCAGTGTGGCTTCCTAACTTATGAATGGAGATATCTGTTGACAGGGTTGATACTTTTGATAATGATGGTTTTGGCATTTATCCTGGTTATCTTTATCATCGTTTATCTAACTGTATCTGCCAACTGCAACTATTTGATGAAGGATTGGTATTAGGTTTCTTGAAGTTCATGTTCTAATGGTGATATGAGATCACAGGCAAATGTTATATCTGATTCAACAAATATATACAGGTGGAGGTCATGTGTCCACTCTATTTATCACTTCTCCTTGAATGACATTGTGGAGGGATATCTTAAACGAAGAAATTATGCAGTTTATGCAAGTTATTTCCTGAAGAAACCAATTCTTTTTTGTATATTATTTCTCAGTATGGCATAGTGGAGAACTCTTTATTGTTCGATTGTATTGCCTGTCTTATTGGTCAAGGAGAAGATGGAATATATCAACTATTCCTTATGCCATCCTACTTTGATATTCAAAAAGTTCTCCTATTATATGGTGAAGTTTCTGTTTCTATTCTTTACATGAGGTGCTAGTTTCATGGCCTCTTTTGGAATTGGGAAGCAGGCACTATTACTGTTCATTATTATGTTACTCTTTTTGTTCCATGTGATGGTAAGCTTAGTCTCATTACAATTTGGGGGTTCTCTGCTTGCTGTTATGGGATGATATAAGTATGATGACATATGTACTGTAATGAAAATTCTTTTTATTCCAATGCAGGTAAGCGGGACCAACGAGGGGGTGACTTGAGGGATAAGCTTGACAAGAGGTTTTCTCCACTGCATAGGTATTCTCCAGGAAGAGATACAAGAGATCGGCGCACATTTCGTGGTCAGAAATTGTGTCCTTATAGCATGGCTGCATTTTAAATCAATATAATATTTTTCTCATTTTCATTTCTTGGCTATAGATTAACTGAGTTGTTCACTTGAACTTCTTGATTATATGTACTTCTTCTCTCTTTAGATTTTGGATGCAACCGGTAATGTTTGTGGAAATAAAATATAAGTTTCTGCTTGTTTTATTGTGAAATTTTAATCATTCCTTACTTGTACCCCTCTTGTCTTCTATGTGTATTTCAGGATCTAGCCCTTCCAGGTCACTTGAGGAGAACGGGTAAGTTAAAAGGAATTCATCTTTTACTTCTACCAATTTATGTGAGGTTCTTTGAGTACTTCCTTTACTGAGGCATCTGTATTGTGGCTATATTAGCTTTCATTGCTTTGGTTTTATCCTTTTTATTTTTCATTCCTCACAATGTATAATACTATCCTTTAATCATTTTGAACCATTAGAGAGGGTTTGCTGGATCTCCAGTCAAGTCTTTATGAGAGTAGTTGCATCCTATGCAACAGAATTTCAAATTATTCAATGAAATTTTATTACTTTGCCTATCTAATAGTTGAGAAGGCACAAGGGGCAATCCTAGTGCTTCAATCATTCAGAATTGGACAACTTTAAATCTCAGGCATTGCATGAGGGCTGTGTTATGCACGTCTTGCCAATGTTTCACAGGATTTTGAAGAGGAATGAGTACTTTTTCTTCTTTCTCACACCCTTTGAGCCTTAAAAGCACGCTTGCCTCTAGGCTCCAAGACCCCTTTGATCCTTATGGGCATTTCACCTTAATAACTATGGGCATCTTTCCAATTTTATGAGAAGCTAACAAGTTCAATCCATTCAAAAGATATCTTTAACATTTCAAAAATCCAAAGAGCCCTTGGTAAGTTTGGGGAAAAGGCCAAATTCCTTATGAACAATCTTACGGGGTACATGGCCTGGCTGGTGGACATTCTCCATCACAAAGGCTTGTATTTGTCAATTAATGCTTCTGCTTGATCATATTGGATCATTAGGTAGTTGAATTTTTCCTCAATTTGAGTTCTCCATTTCAAAAAATGCTAGAATTGTGAGGTCATTGGTAAGCACGGCAAGTTGACTGTGTTTTTTGATTAGGTCTGAAAATAAAAAATTTGAGGTATCTTTTGAAGAAAATCTGGATGATTTAAATAAGCATTCTCTGCATGTTATATCATAGACTTTTGATTTTTTTGTTTTTTTTTGGGTTTCTATGTACATATATTTGGGTTCTGTAATGACTTCTTTATAGTGAGAGAAAACGCAGGAAAAAACAGCATGTCGATGGCCACAATGATTTTTCTGGAAGTCCAAAAAGCTCAGATGTGGCAGAAGATTGGGCTAAAAGAAGAAAAAGCAAACCAACTGATTCTAGAATTGTTCTTAAGGAGCAGGTTAGAAGACTTCAGTGAGTTTGTTTGTGCATCTCTAATAGTTTCGTTCTTATTTTTTTTCCTTTTTGGAAACCTTCAGCTAATAGAGTTGCATTCAGAGATCGACATGCTTGATCAACGAAAATCCCAATTAAGGGTCAGTTGAGTTGGTATTATTTTTTTTTTTACAACTCTTATATGTTGTGCTTTTGCCCGAGATTCCTTTTGTTGTTTTATGTGTTGTAACTCCCTATTTGGAAAAATTGAATTCATTTTGGATTCCGTATTTTCATGTTTGGAATATTAAGAAAGAATTTCATTACAGTACTAAAAGTTCAAGTCTTTGGAATTGAATATACCTAAATCAAATTTTATTAAAATAGTTGAATTTCCAAATGAATTTCACAAAACTAACAAAACAACTTTTAAGGACATAAATGTCCATATTATCTCATTATTTTTCTCTCTTTAACTTCTATTCTTTCTCTGTCATCTTCCTCCTCTTTCTTCATCTCTCTCTCTCTCTCTCTCTCTCTCTCTCTCTCTCGAATGTTTCTATCTTCTTTATGTTTCTCTTTCCTCTATTAATTAAAATTTTTTTATATATTCTAAAAATTAAAGATTGATTATAAATATAAGCTATATTTGTTTTTCCACCTGTGTTACTTTTACCATCAAATTGTAATATTAAGGACATTTTAAGTTGTGTCATTTTGAACATGGGAATTCATTAACTATATTTCTAATTCATTATTCCAAATGAGTCCTAAGACTAACCTGCCAATTTGTTGTTTATAGAAAATACTAGGTTATAAGATTCTATATTTTCTTTCATTTTTTTTTTTCATGCCATCACATCAAATGGTTTCGAGGTGTATCTTTAATGATTTTATATTTCTCTTTTTTAATTGGTATTAGGCAATGTTGGATTAAGGGTTTGAAACCCATGGAATTTGTAAAAATTCATGAAATAAAAACATGGGTTTTTAATTACATGGATTTATACAATTTCTCTTGTGTGGCATATATATTAATAATTAATTTAAGGGTATTTTCATAAGTAGAAAACACTTTTTAAAATAATTATTTGTTAAAGTGATGAATTTGACAAAACCCCAATTTACATGTGAGTTTGCAAAAACTCTCAAAAGTAATGATTGCAATGAATGAGGATTTTGAATAATTCATGGAATTTACCCCATTTTTTTTTTTAATTTTTTTGTGCCAAAGGAGGGATTTGTGCCAAATCTATAGATTGTTCAAAATTCCTCATACCAAAGATAGCCAATAATGCCTATATTTCAATATGTTATGAAACTGAGGCATTGATTTTGTTTGTTTGTTGAATATACTTTATGAAGACAATAGTGGATGAGAGAGTTGAAGAAGCAGATATTCTTACTTCCAGAATTCAGGAGCTTGATTCTCAATTGGCCAAAGAGAAAGAGGAATATAAGAGGTGGTTATGAATTGGATTGCATAAATTATCCTTTTTGTCTGTCAATGAGAAATGTGTTATCTGCTGATGGAGTCTTCTTTTTTCTTCTTTAATCACTTCACTCTTTGTGATTGACTTTTCCAGAACCATTTCAAAAATTAAGAAGTTTGTCAAAGCACACAAGCGCTATGTGCGGGTTCAGGAGGAACTAAAAAGGTAAGTTTTTGTTTGACATTTCACAGGTCCCTCTTGTACATTTCGTGTTTGAATTTATTTGACACATCTGGTCTTTTTGAAGTTCTCTAGTTTAAGGATATGTTTTTGGAATTGGCTATTGTTCAATTAAGTTTATCCATGGAAATGCATAGGTCACAAGTTCGACTTCAGAAGTTGGGGGATCAGCTTGGCTCTGGCTCTGCGACAGCTGGTGGTAATGAAGATGATTCAAGCATCAATATTGTTAGTGATGGAGAGGCTCCTGGTTATCATGCTACCAGCCTGCAGAACGAGGTGCAGAATAATTCTTCTCCTGGCAAGAAAGGCCTGCGTGTTAAACATGATACTGCAGAGGAAGTGGCAAAAGGTGATGATTTCTCGGCCATGCTTTCTGAAAGTTGTAGGATGGTCAGCATTTCTTCAGTCCCTAGATTATGTTTTTTCTTTAATACAGTAAATGGAGGCTGAAATGCTTACAGTATGTTAAACAGTCATGTCAAGAAATCATAGGAAAACCTGCGTCACATCTGCATCTTTGTCAATATATTGGTGCTCCTTTATAGTATAGAGCTGAAAGCTATCTATGTGCCACGCTAGAAGAATAGGTTGTAAAACAGCTCTTTTCAATCTATGAGGCAATGCCTTCCATACCATGCTAAACATTTGCATCGTTGACTAACTACTGACCAGTTTGGAAGTTTGAATGCGCTAAAGTTGTGGAAGACAAGGAAGCAAGAGGAATTACTAGGATGATGGTGGATAAGCGAGAAAGGATTTAATTTAATGACCAAGCACTCTGAAGACGTAGCCCTAAACTGAAAGGAATGGAGGAAACAAATCTAGGTAGCTGAACCCAATTAGTTTGGGAGTATGGCCCAGTTGAGTTGAGTGAGCAATTTGTGGATATACAAGCTTTTGTTGGACTTATTTGACTTTTGTCTTGTAAGCAATTTTGCTATTGCATGGATGTTGGCATTGCCTTGTGCCCATTAATGTCATATCTCTTTGATTCATCAAAAAATTGTTTATTATGACGGCCTAGAACTGATATGAGGTGTATTTGGTCATAGTTGGTCTAGATTATTAATCATTGTCTGGGCATATGTGTAGAGTTTGATTAGTTAGTGGCGTTTTGTCTGTTATTGCTTTACTTTTATTCTTGCTTTCAAGGTCCTATAAGTAGGGGGGCAGTATTGGATATAACAAGATAACACAACATGAACCCAACATGAAATTAACAGGTTTGGGCTTATCATTATTCTGTAGACTCAAATTTGTGACATGAAAGGAATTGTGCTGTGTCTTGGGAAAATTGGCTAATCTATTAATGAAACGAATAAAGCTGAAGTGAGTCAAATCTAAGATTAGTTTTGACTGAAGGAGAGGGATGTTATCTCCTCTATAACAAGAGAAGACTATCCTCTCTTTTTGATTAATGAACATAAAAAGAAAAAAATGAAAAAGATGTCGTGAAAGGATATAATTTTCCTTAAAACATGATTTTTGGACTTATCTGTTAATAGGTCTCAATTAATCTTATAATTTTTTTCACATGATGTGAATATTTTTTTTTTGAAAATGTGAAATTATTAACGTTGTGTTTTATTACTCATTTAATAATTGGGTCATGTTCTTGTTTTAATTTTTGACCTGATAAGCTAATCTATCTTGTGTTCAGTTTGGCCCAAGTTATATTGGTGTCTTGATACGACACAAACATGACCCATGAACATGAATTCTCTCCCTTTACATAGTAGTTGCAAAATCAAAGACGGACTAAGAATTTTCAACTCTGCCTTTTCCTGAATCAAGAAATAATGAGCTTTCTATCTTTCCTGACACCACTCAGTTGTGAACAAATTTCCTTGTTTCAATGCATAAAACTATCATTAGATCCTGGGTATTTGTAGAAAAATTTATCTTTGCAAAGCATCTTTATGTACTCAGTTGTCCAAATTCAAATACCTCTCCCATTGTGAGAAATACCTCTCTCATTGCTTGTCAACTGGCTCTCTAACACTCCTTATCTCAGTTAGGCTTTGGATTCCCAGTAGTAGCTTAAAACCGTTTGTTGTTTTGACATAGAAATGCCAAAGACACTCCCATTAAGGGGTTATAAAGAGCATGAATTGAAAAAGACCGGCTGGTAACAACCATTAATAGCATTGAGACTAATAATGCATGTTACCTGATGTGAGACTCATGAATTACTAGCAAAGACTTTAATGGATCTTGCTTAAAGATAATTTGTCTTAAATTATCCCATGATTTGCGGTTCGGTCATTACAAAGTCACTTCAATTGGTCATCACCAGTAATTTCTGCTTAAAACTAGACAATATCATTCAATGGCTGATACCTTTCTTGAATTTTAGCAAATTTGAATGGTGGAGGATATCACACTGCGACTAACGGAGTGGGAAAGCTTTCTCAATTGAGCGCGCACCATGGACAGTTGAATGTTAACAAAGACTTTGGAAAGGTCGACAATGGGAGTAATTCTCATCAGCCTATCGGACATGAAAGCAAACAAAAGAAAGGAAAGAGTTTTTCTGCAAGCATCTCCTCTGCAGAGAAGGTTCTCTCTCTCTCTCTTTCTCTCTGTTGCTTTTCCTGGATGCCTTTTTAGTATGTGGGAGTTTTATTTTTCTGTAGTGGTTCAGTTTTTCATCAGTTTATGATATAGATACCATTCATTAGGTTTTTTGCATAAATACTTCATTATGATGTAAGGCCCTTTTTCAGTTGAAAATTTATGAGACAACCTTGCTAATCTGAAGTATTTGTTAAAATAAGTAATAAGTGAGAAGTGTTTCCAGGAAGATGGGAAGGGAAGGGATATGTCTATGTTTGGAAATGCACTGTGGCATCAGCAGATATAGAGTTGGCTGCATTGAAACCGAGTAGAAAACTATCACAGCAACATCTAGGGGATCTATAGATCCTTACTTGTCTTCCACTGTTTTTCCTCCTAACAGATACTATATATGTTGCTTGCTCGGACCTTTTAATGAATAAAACAATTGAGGAACTTCAAAATTTTGAAATTAGGAAGAAAGTGAGAGACGGAGGGTTGCCTTCTATTATTTGTCATTTTCATGGAGTTGTCAAAATCCAATTTACGAAAATATTCAGCAGTTTGTGTCTTGATTGTTCAGCAAAAGGGTTCAGGGTTGGGGCCTCTGGCACCATCAACGAGCATGGCTGCTCATGCAATTGATGAATTAGTTGAGATTGAAGTGGAGGAGAATATTGAGGTGGTCGAAACTATTTCAACAGAAATTGATAAAGGAGCCACTACATATGGGGTCAGAAGGTTGCCAGTTCTGCTTCCTCCTCCTCCTCCTCCTCCAGTCCCTCGAAATGCTTATTTACAGGTTTGTTCAGTTTCTTGATTATAGTTTCCGATAGATTATTGCTTGGACAACCTGGTACACACTTGCACTTGAGATGATATGGTTATGTGAATTGTGGAGATGTTGAAGCTATGTATATTATGTATAGAAGAATGAATGGTTGTGGACATTTGAATGAACAGTGAAGTACATGGTTTAATGTAAATATTTACAAAAAATGACTAACCTAATCTTAAATATAGTCCTACTTATAAATGAAATCCAAATACTCTTAGCCCTAGAATATTAAGAAAAATGAAATCCAAGCATGAATTTAGAGTATAAGAATGAAGAGCTAATAGAAGATGTTTATATGAGTTAACTATTGATTGGTGATGGAAACAAGGACATGTTTGATAGTCTGATTCTGGAAAGATTAGCTATTGATGTGAGAATGCAAGTTAATTACTTGATGATATATTAAGCAAGCGATTATTATATTTTTCTTTGGCTGGTAATGAACTCGATCAATGTAGGCATGCCATTCAATAGTATCTTTTTTTTTTTATTGGAAAAACTAACATTTCATTTTGAAAGAAATGTCACTTTAATCAAGTGGTGACATCTGTAACTCTAATTCAAAAAATTGCTTTCTTTTTTAATTGAAAAACTATGCTCTAAATAAGATGTGTGTAAATATGGAGGCTTTTTAGATGCTGAGTGTGTACAAAATATTACATTTGAAATATATTGCCTGTTCACTGGTTATGAATATTGATTCTATTGAATTCGACTTGATTTCTTAAAAGTTCTTTGGATTATAGAATAATGCTCTATGCTTATGTATTGCCATTTGGTTTAGGATTAAGGCTTGGTTGTGTTCTTGCTGATCTTTTTTTCTTCTTTTGTTTTCCTGTTATTTTTCTATTAGAACTTGTGAGCAAATTTCAAATCTAAGAAAAATTATTGGACAAAAAATGAGATCATATTATAAATATTTTTAAGAGTTAAATTTAGAATTTCCTAAAGAAAAGTAAATTTAGATTCAGTATTCAATTCAATAATTATTATACCAATAATATCTATATTACTGACTGTTTGTAGGTTATGTATATATAAAATTTGAAGTAAATACAACTGTATTTTGAGTGAATATTAGTAGTAAGTTAGGGTTCACTTATTGGTTTAAGGGTTGAATTAATGGTCTTTGGATACATTAGATAGATCTATGGCGTAAAATTTTAGAAGCTTATGTAAAAAATAGAGACAACTGACGAGGCGCAAAGTCATTGTCTGGGAAATTGTATTCTTCTACTAAGGTTATCTTTACGATTTGCACCCTACTATGTATTGGTTCTTTTTCTATAGCAACTGTTGTTGAGCTTTTTTTTTTTTTTTTTTTTTTTTTTTTTTTTTTTTTTTTTAATGAATCTTAATGTAAAAAATGGAACGTGAGAGGGCGCAAATAATTGTCTTGGGAAATTGTATCTTCTTAAGGTATCTTTACGATTTGCACCTACTATGTATGGATTTTTTTCTAAGCAACTGTTTTTTTTTTTTTTTTTTTTTTTTTTTTTTTTCTTTTTTATCTTGATTATCAGTACAAGGGCAAAGACAAGGATGTGGATGTGGGAGGGCTGGAGGAGGAGATGGTGGATGTTGACATTGTTTAATATCACAAAATGGTAAATGATTATAGTGTTTTTATATATCTTTTGGTACACTGGAATCAGGGATTGTTAAGCTTCATGTGCATAGTTCTGGGTTATGATGAGGGACAAGAATTCTGTGATGGTCTGTGTGTGTGTTCTCTTTTTTCCCTACAAGGACTGGATTCTTTATATGCACATTACTAACTTAGGACGTCTCTAATTAGTTTGTCTAAACTATTTTTGTATTTTAATTATAAGTAAACAAGTCAATCTTATTTTCTTAATAATGCTTTTGAAGTAATTAACATTGATTATTGTGCTTTTTTTTTTTTTTTTTTTTTTTTTTTTTTTTTATAAAAGATAAATTGGCGAGTAAATAAAAATCAATATTCAAAAAATTTTTTCTTATCCACAGAAGGGTTAACGGAAAAATTGAATCGAATAGATTTACTTTAGTTTTTCAATTCTGTCGGTTTGATTTGAATTTATAATTTTGGGAACTTTGGTTATGGGACCTATTAAAATAAAACTGAATTTATTTAACTTATCCAAATTGAATTTATTTGACTTGTTCCTGAATATATTTCGATGTATAAAAAAGGTTATTTCAATTTTAATTGTATATTGTGGGAGCGATTTGTGTCAGAAAATATATAAATATTGTACTCCCTCTGTCCCAAAAAAAATAGTCTATCTTTTCTTTTTGGTTTGTCTTAAAATATAGTTCACTTTTTTTTTTTTGCATTATAGTTAATCTTTAAATTGTCTATTATATTTTTGTTAAATTTTATCTTATCTTCAATAATCCTCATTAATTCTTACTTATTATTTCAATATAATAATTGCTCATGTGTTGTTTAAGATGAACATAATAGGAAAGTTATATGAATAAAATTGTCTTTTAACCATAATAATTACTACTTTCTTCATGTATGTGAAAATAGAAAGTGGATTTTCTTTTTGGGACGGATGAAGTATTTGGTTAAAATTAGATTTTTATTAAAATATAATCTTATTTGTTTTATAGTGTAAATATACCATATTAGAAGTGAATTCTAAACTGTTTTTTTTTTTTTTTTTTTTTTTTTTTTTTATCCAGTCTAACTTTTAGTTTTTGCGATTGGCAGTTAACTGTCAAATAATTGCCAAATAGTGTATGAAAGGATGGTTAGTGAAAAAAAATTTTATATATACTGTGCTAGTGCCAATAATTAGAGTTTCGACCTTAAAAATTCGCTAGCTTAGTTTGCAATGCAGGTTAAGGCACGTGGGAAGAGCTTCAGCAGTTCGATTTTTTTTTTTTTTTTTTTTTTTTTTATCAGTCTAACTTTTAGTTTTTGGCGATTGGCAGTTAACTGTCAATAATTGCTAAATAGTTATAAAGGATGGTAGTGAAAAAAAATTTTATATATACTTTTCTATTGTCAATAATTAGAGTTTCGACCTAAAAATTGTAGCTTAGTTGGCAATGCAGGTTAAGCACGTGGGAAGAGCTTTCGAGTTCGATCCCATTAAATGTACCTATAAAAAGAGGTCAAGAGCCTTAACTGTAACTAAAGTCCGAGCCTTAACTGTTAGGCTCTGTATGTTTCTCACTAAATTTGTTCATTTCAAATCTATTTTATCTTAAAAGCAGACTTGAATGGCATCTGAAATTTTCAATAAAATATTTTTTCCGAAACAAAATGCACCTTTACTTTCTCCTTCTATGATGATTGCTTAGATCTTTCTCAAAAATCAACGCTCAGCTTTCATAATTTCCATCTCAAAAAATAAATTCAATCGATTACTCCTATTTAGAATGTTTAATTTTGGAAGAAAATTCAATTTTAATAATTTTATCGTAATAATTATGAAAAATAAGATAATTTTTTAAGAAAAAATTTTGAAGTATTAAAAATTGTTGTAACATTATAATTCAAATTAGCTTAGCTCCATGGTCAAGTTATACAAATATTATTATAATTTATGTGCTAGTTGTAACATTATTAATTATTACCTTAAAAATATTATTAATTGTTTTTTAATGAAAAAATAATTTAAAAAAATAAAATACATTGAGTTCAGTCTTTATTTGTTGGTGTTTGAAATAATTTTTTTGAGTTTTTCAAATTTAAGATATAATGATATAAAAATTTGGAACCCAAAATTATATGTTCAACAATGTACCTTCCACTTTCGAGAATAAAGATATTAGAATTTCAATATTGCAAATTCAAACAAATACAAATACAATCTACCTTCCACTTCTATTGTTTTTATTTCATGGGTAAGTATGATATATTAAAATCATTAGCATATATTTAGTGATTAAATACACTGTAATCTCCCCTCAAAACATACATATATATATATAAAGACCAAAAGTGATAAAAGGGAATTCCAAAAGGGTAGTCTTCCTAAAAAATAATCTTTTCTTTTCTTTTTATTGTTAATTTTCTCCAAAAAGGCATTAATATTAAAAACATTCATGAAATAAATGTTGAAAAATGTCAAAATTTTTATTAAATACTCCCTCCGTCCTATTTTATTTGGTTGTTATTCCTTTTTGGATGTCCCAAAATATTTACAAGGTTTCTAAATTTAAATATATAAACAATTATTTTTCTCATAATAACCTTTATGATTGTTCATTAAATGGACTTCAATTAATATCTTAATGAATTACGGGTAAAATAGAGACAAAATAACTATAAATTCTTAATATGCATATTTTGTCGAACTACGCAAACAAAATGAGACGGAAGAAATATTTAATATTAAAAACTATAACTAAATGGGAACTTACACTGATTATAAACTTTGGGGTAACCATCTAATGGGATGCTAAAGTAGCGAGACACAGACATATCCTGCTTTCCGAATTCCACAATTTGATATAAGGATCTAAAATAAACAGGATCTGTATGAATTGGTGAAGGTTAAACAAAACTGTGATTTCTGTTCCTTTTTCATTTTTCACCTTCTTCCCTTCTTCTCTATTATATGTATTCTTTCACTTCAAAGTCAGAGCCTCTTTAATGGCTTCCTTTTTGTATACTCTCAATTAGAGATAAGTTTCTCTTCTTCTAAGCACTTGGCACACCTGCATCTGAAGCCGTAATCTGCGAGTAATGCCTGCCTCTCCTCAACCGGAAGGTCCTCTTCTATATATGAAATGGTAATCTGAAAATGACACAAAAATTTTCAATCAACATCGATTATTAGGTCAAGTAAAGTTCCTCAACCAGAATGAGGACCACCTCTTCTCCCTTGCAAATGGGTCTGAGGGCAATGATTGTTGCTTGGCCATCCCTGTCCTACAGTTGATGAATAATACAAATAAGAAGACAAATAAAAACAAAAGAACCCAAATGACCTATTTCGATGTGCAGTGTTAATGCTCAACATTAACCCATGCATTTCGAGAGAGAATTTAGTGCACCCTTCCTCACATTTACTTAAGATTTATTTCCATAATTCCAGGTGAACTCCACATAAATGTGAGTGCATGGTGTACTATACTCCATAGTTGTTATCCATTTCCACTGAATGAGGAATGCGAGAATGGTGTCTTCAAACGAAAAAATTATAGAAGACAGAATAGGAGAACTGCCTTAAAAACAACCAAAACAAAATAGAACACGTACTTCCTCTCTTTTGAATGCTCTTGCGTTCGGGCAACAGGAGTGGTTCATACAGCTCTGTAAAGGATAGAACGCAGTACCTAATGCAAAAGTTGAAAAATCAACTAAATAACCAGATCATCATCATGGGTAGGAGTAATAAGTAAATTGACCAGTGTACCTTTCAGCTGCACTCTACATGTACTAACAAAAATGTGGAATCATTAAGATACGATAGAAAAGGCAGCGAGAAGAAAATATAGAACAATTGTAATTCAAAAACTGTGAAAATATAAATATATTCCATGTAGTAATAGCTTCAATCCAGTCATCCATCCATCTTTGCTAATGCGTACATTTCATTTTACCGCCAGAATAAAGCATCAAGTGATGTGGGTATCATGTTTTCAAACTATCCAATAGATTTGAGCCCTCCGTGTAAATATTAAAATAATAAAAAAAACACTATTACCTGATATTTAACATGAGAAATTAATACTCGAAAAATAAAAAGGAAAAAAAAAGCCCTTAGCTTGCAAACTTCCCTTAAAACAATGTTATAGAAAGAAAAGAAGAAGAACCCAAAGACATCTGTCAGAACTCTCTGGCAAAGCAGTTGTAGTCAATCTATACCATACCTTGACAGCAAACCGAATAGCCATCACCAAGAGCATCTAGGAATGGCTGCGTAATTTCCTCGGCTTTACTCTGTGATAAATGAAATTAGGAATAGCACAAGTACTCATTCTATTCAATTTTTTTTTAAAAAAATAATCTAGAATTTTTGAAGGAAAGCACACTAACCTTTTCAGGATATGGAAGATCATCAATGTACAAAAAATAATCCTCCACTGGAGACGCTACAACCAAATCACTGTCAGAAACAGGACTTGAAATTATTATCTAAAAACTCAAGCAAATCATGCATATGATATATGGGCAAATCCTGATCAAACAAAAAAATATATAAACACAATCCGCTTTGAGAAGCATTTGTTTCTTGCTTCAATGCTAAACTAGGTCCATGGTTATTATCATTATTCATGTGCAAAATATTAACAATGTCGTGTAGTAACAATGGAGCCTTAAAGAAATGGGATGCTTACAGATTATTCAGCTCAAACATGCCAATAATATTTCCATAGATTTCAAGGGAGAATACTTTGTTGTGTCAAGGACTCCAACATTAAAAGACAATGATAGCAACCAAAACAAATTTTTTTAAACTAGGAAAAATTTGAATCAGCACTTGGAATAGGATACAGGGTTCACATTCCAGGTCAAAGATAGCAGCCTTAAGGAGCTGCAATGACTGCAAAAATTCAAACAGAACCATTAAGACCAGCCATATGAAAAGGCAGAAAAAATAATAGCAATATAAAATGGGTTCATAAAACAGCTAGTTTCATGTAAAACCAAAGTGGTTTCATGGAGACAAAGATATCAATTTTGAGAAGTGTTGTTAGTCACTTAGTTAAGTTTCACAAACCATTCTAAAATCAGATCAAGCTAAGAATATTGCCTCCATAAAGAGCAGAAGTAGCTGCAACTTAGTGCACTGTGCATGGAAGAGGTTCAAGTAAAGAATGAAGACAAATAAAAAATACATTGATATTTAGTTGGAACATTTACATGCTCCACAAACTTTGCAGCAGGATGATAATTCCAAAACTTAGGGCAGTTGTTAAACACTTGAAAATTCAAAGAAGCTAGCATTATTTCTTTAATAATGTCTCTATAAGAAAAGGTATAATGTTTTGTACCCATGTTCAGGTGACTGGGGGAGAACAAAAGAGAAGTTCAAGGGCGAAAGAAAAGTAAGGTCACAGATTAAAGCTATGCAAAAGTCATAGCATATCCCATAAACAATTTTTTTCCTCTATATTTCATATTTAAGCAGTAGATAAACAGTTGCATGTCTTTGTTGTAAGTCCACTAACAGTTAAATATATAAGCGTATCTTGCTAGACTCACTCTGTGAAATTATAATGCTAAGGAGTATATGGGAGTAACTGAAAGAAGATGTTTAATAGAAACATGAATCATTGCATAGAACTATTGGTTCTGCATGGCATAATCCATAGATGAACAAACAAGAGCAATTGTTGTTGGAGCATATTTTTTAACATGCATCAGGACTACGAGTGGCTGAAAGACTGCATAATCTGGCTTTAGCATATATTATCTACTGAAATCTTACCGTGTATGCAAGGTCCCTGATTTCCATCCTAAATGTAGTTTCATCAGAATGATCAACATCATCTGGCAATGAAATACATTCCCACCACCTAACAAAGAAAATGGCAAATGAAGTTTGAGCCTTTATTTGCTTGAAACACTAACTCCTTATTTGACCATATATTATGAACCATCATATCAAAATATAGTTGCCAAAATCTCTCTTTTAAGGGTAATAAAATTTCATACTATGTTATCTAAAACCTTCTTCACAGACACATCTACATGAGAAAACACCCATAAAATTGGCTAACGTTTTTTAAAAGATGTAAAAAGGAAAGGTAGCATAAAATAATTATCTACCTTCTCTTGTATCCAATTGATACAGGTTTCCATGCCTCCAAAAGTAAAGTAAGCGCAGGGCATTCTGAATCAACAGGATGAATGCACTTGTATTGTCCTTTTAGGCGAGCAGCTTTTAGCTCTCTATACCTTAAAATGGTGAAAGAAATTGTCTGTAAAGAGAATACAAAAAATTTAGTTACTCACAAGTAGTATCATGTTTGCTTTTTCCTTCTGCGTATACTAATTGAGTGGTTGCAATCCACTTTAAGATACAGCATTTTTCAATCAAAATCTTGCCAAAATAATAGCATAAATACTTAGGTTAAGTGAGGTTGGATAGGCTGAAAGCATTAATCAGCCTGCACTAGATATATTATATATCGCAGTTGTTTTGGCACAGAAATTCTATCAAATACTCAGTTTTACTCTTCATTGCTAAAAATAATACATTGCAATAAAAGAGGAATTTGAAGGCTATTTACCTCATTAATTTTGAAATGTTTGCAAAATTTCAATTTTTTTTATCAATTTTATGCCGCATTTTAGAATTGGTGGTAGCAATTGTGACTTGGTGTAGGTATCATGCAATGAGACGTGTTGATATTGCTCCAAATTGGCAAGTTAACATAGCTATGCAAGCTACACGGTATTTCATGTACTAAGTAGGTTCTCAATTTGAAACTCTTTAACCACTTTGGTTTCCTTCTTCCTCTCACTCGAGACTTGCAGAAATACATATCAGGTGTAGATAACTTCAGGTGCACTCTACTCAAATAGTTTATATCCTGCTCATCCTTCTCAACAGCATGCCAATTAAATGCAAGTCAGTGTAAAAGCATGCATAATAGCATATCTCTTATAAAGTTTTACCATTTATTAAGGTAAAATGGAAACATAAAATCTAGAAAATGCATAAAATTGAAAATTCAGATCATAAGGCTATTATCCTAGCTAATGTAATTAAAAAACAAGGTTTGACATTCCACTTGCATAATGCTCTATGCAACCCAGTCTCCATCACTGCAGAAGTGAAGGGAAAAAGCACCAATAAAACATGAACATTTTCACTTGATAGCATGAAGAAAATGGACAAAATTGAAAATTCACATAAAATTCAGATCATAAGACTATAATCCTAGCTAATGTGATTAAAAAAAAGTTTGATAACCAACTTGCATATTCTTTATGCAACCCACTCTCCATCACTGCAGAATTGCAGGGAAAGAGCACCAATTAGAGCACGGACAGTATTCACTTGATAGCATGAAGAAAAATATATAAGGTGCCGCTTTTCCATTAGGTAGGCCAACAATGCACTAATTTCCTTTTGATTATCCAAGTACGTTAATCACTTTTAAGAAATCTCATAGTGCTAGTCAGGGAAGTGAAATCTCAGGCGAACCCAGTTCAACATGAATGAAACCATAGACACAAACACTTGCAGGACCCAAATGTGGATCCACCTCATCTCTACACTTCATGATGAACCAATCCCACCCAAAAGTTTTTCCTTTAATTGAGGAAATACAAAACCATAAATTCAAAATAGCAGATACCTTTGCTGCAAGGAGAAAGATGTCATTTGTTTCTGTGAAAATCAAAGAACATAAATAGAATGAGAAGGCTGGTAATAAAATGAAAAGGGAAGAAAACAGATACTTGGAACAAATAGTCAAAAAAGTAAAAAAAGCCTCTGTGTTAAAACTTACCATCTGCATGTTGCATAAATTTCAGAAGTGCATCTCTAGATAGTGATTCTGATCTCTCCCCAGTGCAAAGTAATGAATGAGAGGATTCCCAATCTGCTTCTGCACATGTTTTGCTACAACAATATGGGCAACACAGTCAAAAAGAGAATATTTCGTGCTAGATACCTAACAAAGAAAATTGGAAAGAACAGATTTTTCAAGAAATTTCAGTGGCAAAGAAAAACCACAATTAAAAGTTTTCCAAAAATCAGATCAGTAGGCTCTGTTGGCCTTTATTCCAGCTGCAAAATAACAGAACTCTCATTTAAACCCTTGAAATTTTGCCATTGCCTGAAGCCTGGTTCAGCATCCCCTCTTAAGGGAATGACCATTAAGGTTACTTCTCTTTTTTCACATAGAAGTAACTAAGCCACCAAAAAGGAGTGAGATCAACATTAAAACAAGAGCTTTGGGTTATTTAGAGTCAGTTATATTTGTTCTCTGGTGCCATGGTTCAGGTATACAGAACCATTTGGAAGGATAGTCATCAATTTACATGATTGCATCATAGAAGTAGGAAATACAGAAATATTTTATTTTACTTATATTTTAGTTTGTTTAGTTTATCTATTTATTTTACAGGTGGAAAACAGCAAAATAGCGGTCAAGTTAAAGAGGAACATCTTTTGGAAACTCCTAAAGTGTTCTTCCAGAGCACGTATATTTCCATTTGCTGCTGTTTACAAGGCAACATGATTCACAGCATAGAAAGACATAAATATGGAGGAGAAGAGATTCAAATGAAAAATCAGATTAACAAGATATTCACCATTTAACAATATTATACAATGACTTACCTACAGTAGTAAGCTTCCGTGCATCCCCCGGGACAAGAAATTGCTGAAGGCAAAGGAAATTTGTTGGAGTGAGGCAATACCAGTTCACCATTCATTAATGATTCCACAACAGCTTCAGGCAAAGTAACTTTGCCATTGGAACTGCTGGAAGCACCTTCTCCCAATGTCTTATAATCCTTCATGCAACAATCATCTTCTTCATCAGATAAATTGATGCCACAAGAATCTTTTGAAATCTCGTCATGATCACATGCATTACTTGCTGATAAACCAAGATTTTGCAAATATAGCTTCCTTCCAATCTGTTGTTCTATTGAGCCAATAAATTGGAAACAAAAGCTGCAGACCAGACAGTCAATCTGCAAAATTAAAAAGTTAATGGAAAATAGAAATTTGTAATCCTTTAGATAAGATATTTACAAGAAAATAGCTATGTTAAAAAAAAAAAAAAGAAAAAAAAATCAATATTCATATCTCCAAGACCTTGTTTGAAGGATGCTGAATACCCACGAGCATAGGGTCCTTCAAAATGAGTTCCTGTTCTTTAAAGTGTGAGTCAGCATAGACACCTGAAATATGCATCATAAATTTTAAAAGCTATATAAAAATGAAAGAACAGTTGTGGAGCTATCAGAGTTAGCGTTATTATCGGTTATCAGCAATACATATATAAATAGATAAACAAGACAAACATTCTCATTTTTTCCAAAAGAATTTGTAGTTAACAGTTAAAACTGTTCTCGAAACTCAATATTACTCAAGTTAAACCCACTCCCAAAATAGGTAATCAGCTAGACCAATACTTTTCCTCAATCTTTACATGAAATTATGATAAATTTAAATATAATAGAAACAAAAAAATATCATGAAAAACTACCTTTCACATATTTTGAGCCACTGTAAAGGCTGCTTAATCAGAAGAAACTTGTTTGTTCATTTGGAATTGGAAGGGGCAAACCAGGAAAACTTTTGGGGAACATTCTTCATTGATTACCATAACAAAGAGAATATTTTTAACATACATCTTTCCAACTTGGGCTTAAAAATTTTTTTCCCCCTCTCTCCTCCAACCCGCCACCTCTTTTCTTAAATTTCGTCATAAATTAGGAGCTGGCTGTTTCTCGCCCGATGTACACATCCTCCAAAATCTCAACTATCATAAGTTATCAATTACTGAAATAAATAAATAAATACTTCATCACCATCAACTATAAATCCACGATCAACAATATTTTGTCAATTACAAGAAAATTTCCACTTTGAGAAAATTCAATAGGATATATCTAAGTCTGCTATTACCAATGAATAAGCAAGTAAAATGGGTACGAGAAAAACAAAAATTTTATACAACTCAGCAATATATGCACCTTTTCCAAACTTTCCATTCTGCTTCACTTTGATGCCATGGCATTGCCTGCTCAATATAAGCTCCTCAAAATACTCCTAAAACATTAGAGAATTGTAATCTTAATCCAACTAGACCAAGAAAATTACAGAAAAATCAGCTTAACTTGACATTTGCATGTGTAGAAAAAGAGAGAGGGAGAGTGCCTGGACTTGGAGAGGAGGAGGACGACGGAGAAGAGCAGAGATTTGAGAAGCACACTTGGTATCGAGTGGGCAAACTGTGTCCATTACAACGCGGAAAAATGCTAAGCCTTTTTGTGTCGACTGTTAAGTATTTGATACAAAAGACGAGCTTCAAGCAAAAATGAGTAAGACGGCGCTATAAAATCAGGTGATCACTGTGCTACACTATGGTCTCTCGTCCAATGTCTAAATTGCAAACTTGTAATTTGGTGTAATTATTGTGAATTGTTTTTAATTTTTTTTCGAATTATATATTTGAATATTTTTATAATTTATATTTTAAAAAAAACTTTCAAAAAGTAAATTATGTTAAATTAATTTTTTATTCAGATTTTACTATAATTATTCTAAATTTGAAATATTATTCAAAACATAAACATAAATTTGAAATTTGAAACTTTCTTTTTTTTTTTTTGTTTTCTAGAAAGTCTAATTTGAAACTTTTAGGTAATGATATATTAAAAAGCTCATGTTATGGCTCTTTAATCGTAGAATCTTATTATTTCATGGGCTAATTTTCGGATTTTAGTTTGAGTTTGTACAACTCAAAACATAAGTAATATATAGAAATGATACTCAAAACCCCTTTGATTTAGCTGTTTATATCAATAGATAGCTGCTATTAGGTAATGCTGATAGCTAGAAACTAGCATATATATGTTTTATTTTTAAAGTGAGTATATTATTTTTTATTCTAATTTATTATATAAATAAAAAATATTATTTGAATTTTTGAAATAATATTTAATACAAAATTATTATTTTTAAAATAATAATACATACAAGGACGATAACAATATTAATTTGAAGATTTTATTAGTAATATTTTTCTGAGGTTAATAAAGTCCAAATAAAATAATATTCACATCAACGTATCTCGTAGAATGAGCAAGCAATTGTTGAAAACAGCCACTGTTTAAAACTTTTATCTATTGATTAAAAAGCTTATTAAACACCTACAAACTTCTTAATTGCATTAAATTTGTAATTTCCACAGATTTTTTTACCCTACCTAATGCCCCAATCTCAAGTTCAATCTGCCATCCATTTTCATTAGATTTGTAATTTTCACAGGCTTCTTTGCCCTAGCTAATGGCAAAAAATAATAAAAAGGAAAAACACATCAACACAATATGTAATGGTGTCAGTAGACATTGGTCTCAAAAGCAAGGAAAAGCCCACAAGTCATGGGACACAATAGTATTTCACTTGAAAATTGGAACACCAAAATTATTGTCATTGCTTACATATCCTGTAACTGATACAGATTACATACAACCAATCCATTTAATGAAATCTCCAGTCCAAAAAAAAAAAAAAAAGGGTTCAGCAGACCGACATGTTTTAGAGAGACTTAGGTTATCGTATTGATAGAAAGCTGTGAGGTTAGAAACACCTATCAAACTTCTTAATGTGCATGAAGGATATGGTAATTTCCAGGCAGTTTTGGTACCCTGGACCTGAAGCACCCCAATCTCAAGTAGTCAATGTTGGCCATCCCATTTCATTAGGATTCGTGTAATTTTTCACAGGCTTCGTTTGCGCCAGTAGTAATGGCAAAAGAAATAGATAAAGGAAAGGGAAAAACACGATCGAAAACGACACATAGTGTAATCGGTTTCAGTAGACATTGGTTGCTCAAAAAGGCAGGATTGAAGCAGAAGCCCACAATTGCATGGGACACCCAATATAAGTTCACTTGAAAATTAGGGGAACACACAAAATCTATTGTCATTAGCTACATGATCCTGGTAAGCTGATAACCAGATTTAGGTCTAGTACAACCAATCCAGTCTGTAATGAAAATCCTCAGCGTGCCAGAAACAAAAACGAAAAAAAGGGTCTCAGATGTGACCAATCTGACAAAAAAAAAAAAAAAAGGGTTCAGATGTGACCAATCTAATGCACAAATTTCAAACAAAATTAGAAGGAATTTGTGGTCACTTCTCACCGAAAATTAACAACTGGCGAAGAGTTTCTAAAGAACATTGCGCTGTAATCAGTTTTTCTTTTTTAACACAAAGAACAATCTATTTTAGGTTTATACTCCAGATGTTTTAGTGGTGAAGCATCAAACACATCCAAAGAACTGTTCCAAGGATGGAGCACTAAACACATTTGCAGCAGTTCGTTCGGGTCTAATAGGAGAAATGTGAAGCTGATATTTGATAAACCTCTGTAACAGAGAAAAGTGAAATGCAGAGTAATTAGTAGACAAATTAAAATCAGTATACAGTGAAAGTGAATGTAGAGAAGTTACAAAAAAATGGCAAGTTATATTGATATATACAGCTAACTGAGAAACAATTTCGGGATTTGTGTCAATATGCCAATCTGGTTCTAGCTGCCGGACAAAAGATGATCGTCCATTTTCCATGCTACAAAAGAGAACCTGCAGGTGCATTTTCCATAAATTAGAGAGATCAATCGAATTTGAAATCCTAATCTTTTAAAGGAGAAAAAGATAGAAAAAACAAAAAAAAGGATATCCATTGCCACAATTTATAGTTAAAGCACAGTGGTACTCTTTAAGCTTCTATCATCCAAGGAACAGCTTGCATTAGAATTTACGTCATATCTTAAAATAACAACAGCAGAGGTACCATGAAATCAACAACTCAATCCATCAGACTACCTCTAATTTCAATGGCTGCATTATTAAATTATGAAAACCAATGTTTCTCCTTTAATTCTTTATTTTTTTAACCTTTCCAAATGCCAACAACACTCCATAGTCCATACGCATTAGGATTTCATTCCAACAACATTAGAGTGCATGACAATTTATTATTTTGTACATTGCAATAATACTGAAATTTGTTCAGGAAATGATAACATTGTAAATTGATATCATTTTTTGCTGGAAACTCTCCGTAATTGCTATGTTTGCCCCCTTTCAGACATAACATTTAGCATCACAATTTCTCATTGCCTTGTATTCTTTAGTGCCAGTTGCTTCAATAAGGATTCCAACGCATCAATTACCAGCACTACATTCCACTTAGTCTTTGATATTTTGCGAACAAATTCCTTCTACCCATATATGTCCACATCCTTACACAATTGCCTTTGTGAACAATATGGTAGCCAAAAATCAAAATATTAATATAATTCAGCAAAAATATGTACTAAAGATTCTCATGCCATGCACATCAAGCACTAGTGACCCGTGCCATATACCTTGATTCATATTTCATAACATATCAAGAGATAAACCTAAGACATATCCACAAGGAACAATGGACTGAAACAGAATAGAAAACATAATGAAGCAAACCATGAAAGGAAGTATAATGAACATGAACAATTGTATCATCTGGTAGCAAGACAAAAATGTTTATGATTTACTAAATTGACATTTCACTTCCCATTGCAAGAATAATTGTGAGAAATGCGATCACGAAATTCTGCGAAACTGTTTTTTCACTCGGTTGTTTATAACTTGGTCATTACAATATTGTAGGCATTATGTTTGGAATCATCCACTGTATTTTTTTTTACATATTGAATAAATAATACACCGTATTATAATTATCTCAAAAAAAGATTGCATTATCTTTATATCTAAAGAATACCAACAAACACATCTAAGAATATGCAAAAACATTAAAATCAACTGTTACATAATGCTTTGATATTGAATAAATATCTTTAACCTTCTTTCTTAGGACATAAAAAGGGTCGAGGCCATTAGTATCTCAATATTTTTCAAGGTTCACAAAACTGAATACTCTCTACTGGAGCTCAGATAAATTATCTTCATAATTTTGCTGTTGTTGATTCCATAAAAAGAAAATTAACTCAATTTTCAACCAGAGTTATCAATGAGCACAAAATGAACCACAAAAGGATGCCATGCAACTCACACTATGACACTATAGAATACCATCATGAATCATTTCTATGAAGAAGTATCAACTCAGGAAAAATAACTTACGGTAGATTGATTCATATATAGAAGTTCCAAGATGAGGAATTTTAATTGTTATATAATAAGGAAACAATATATTCAAAAAGCACTTCTACTTACCTTGTCTTTGACTAAACCACCAGATGTGAAAACCCCTGCATTTTCTAATGCTGCAAGAACCTTTTGCTGCAGAAAAATTATTCATGGCATGAGAAATGTAGCAAAAGTGATTGGCTGGTATGAAAGGAAAACTAGAAAGACAGCTCCAAAAGAAATTTAAACAAGGGACAGTTACTACAGGATCCACAAAATACTTTTAACTCAAGTACAAACAGTAAAAGCAAACACTTGATTGGTCAACTATCAGTTAAATAGTAAGAGAATATCCACAAAATTTCCTTTATGCAAAAATCCTCAACTTCACAACAGTATATGCAGATGAGAAGATTTCATTAAGTGAATCAAATAGAACCATTAACATGTCCAGTAAGAGCAGAAGAAGACAATCCTAGCAATATAGATCAAGCATGAAGCACCTCTTGAAATTGAGAAAAATTCTAATACGTTAGTCATATCGTCAATGAATACCTCAATGAATAGCAGATCGTTCTTTTAGCTAATAGCTCTCACCTCAAACATGCACATACACTTAATGTACACCAGCAATTTCAAGTATTGGTATATTATAGATCGAATAATAAACACTCTTAAAACATTCTCAGAAAACAAATCCTCGAAAGAGAAAAAATAGATACCAAGTTAACACCACCTATAACCTCAGGTTTCCAAAATTAGCAAGATGGTATCTTAAATATGTCGGTGGGAAACATAGAAATCCTTATAACATATAGACCAAAATCCTACAACTATGAAGATCTCCAAGCATAGTAAGCTCGGAATAGGCACTAGAGCGCTTTTCTTCTCTTTCCAGCTCTGTAGCGCACTTAGCAGCTTGAATGCCTAATGCCACCTTGTCAGTTTATGTTTGAAAATTCCCGCTCATAGGTTGGACAGTACAGAATTTGAACATCTAGCTTATTTTAGAATATACAACTATCCATCCAAAAATATTAAATTTGAAAGGTCAGTTTATGCATGGGTAGACTTTAGAAAGAACAAAATAACAATGATGACATGGAAACATAGGAGACAAGTACAACATCTTATGCACATAAAAAAAAATGGATACTAAAATCATGAACTCTAATCATATAAAATGCAACACTGGGCAAAATTGATAACATCCAGTTATTTGATAAAACAATGTTGTAGACGTACTTCACTCTCATCATCAAGTACTCTTTCCATAAGATAAAGATCACAAAATTTTGCTATCTCCAACAGCACTTCCAGAACAGAAGACCTCACAGTAGCTTGTTTCTGCCATAAGAAAACAACTCAAGTTATCTTCTAGGCTGCTGTTGAAAGCATAAATTTTACTGCAAAAAAAATTTCGCTACCTGAAGCTCCTCTGGAGTAGTTTCCTCAAGGATAACTCCAAGCAAACGACACGTGACCTGCACATTGTAAGTGGTCAGTTCTGAAATTACCTAAGGAGAATGGCTTTCTAAATACTGGAAGAACCCCAACAGTTAATAAATCTGATGAGAACAAAATAATTAAGATCCAAACTCAATTAATTGTGATATCACATACTATTGCAATATTTTAATGCCAGATAACAAGCTCTGAAAATTTAGCCAAATGACCTGCCAATGACTAGAAACTACAATATCTACTACAAAATAAAAGTTGGTAAAATCATAGCAGGCTAAATTCAAAGACCCATAAAAAAAGTTGGTTACCCAAGATGCACACGTTTGGACCCTAGTTGATGTAGGAAGAAAGAAACCACCGGTAGTCATCTGACAAATGAGAATTAAAATTTTGCAACTGCATGCAAGACTAAGTTTTACATATATTCCAAAGAGCAGTCTGATACTAACACAACTAAATCTATTGTTATGCAGATTCCATGCATATACAAATAGGCACACCATTTCAAGTAATTATTTCATTTTGCCAATAACACAATTCCAGCTCCTGCTCCTGTTTCTAATATATGATTTCAAGAATAAGGCTCTCCTGCACAGGAAATTTACATGGCAGCAACTCCTCTCACTCTTGAATAAGCATAAGCATGCACTTTGAAAAGGAATTACAACATTTCCCCATAGATTATTTCTGGATTTCATAATTATCTCTGTTCTTAATCAGCAATCACTTCAAATTTGATCAGAGAGACACTTCGTGTGCCTATTCAACTAACAAAAGTATGCAAATAGCAACATTTTCATCACAGATACAAAGAATTGGCAAATAAACTAAAGATTCCCAAGAAATCTAACTTCGAACCATATATGGTCTTGTCAAATAAAAAAAGGATGACACATAGCCCACTTCATATAAATAGCAAACACAAATTAAGCAAATGAAGCATCATACTCGGCACATTTGAGAGGCAAGAATGCATTTACCTTTCTTCCTTCACTCAATTTCTGTCTAACTATCTGCCCCAAAGTTGGCTGAAAAATAGGGAGAATGTCCACTAAGAATAAGCAAACATGCACAAATGAAATACAGTTCAACGTTGGGAAAAAGGTTGATGCTTATACCTTTACTGGCTGGAAGAATTCGTCAACGACATTTTGTGCTCTCAGATCATCAGAAGATGAACAAACTCCAGGAGGAGTCAATGTTGAATTCGATTGAGCACTAACAACTGAACTACTAGTTGGAGGAGCTTGGCGTTTTGGCTGTCTTTGTTGACTTCCACTGGGTGACCTAAACAGCCTCCAAGTAAAAACTATAGCAACAGCGAGCCCTGCAATAGCCCCCACAGATCGAGTATCCTGATACCAATTTTAAGGTAATGAGAACTCCCAAATATTCTAAATAAAAAAACAAATTTCACTTTTTTGATAAGCCATAAGCAGACATGCAGTCAAGGAAAACTAGATTTAGGGATTATTTTGATTCAAATTTAAATTAATGTAATTTATAATTTTTCTTGTAAATTTATATTTAGAAACGTTAGCTTCTCAAACTATTTAGGGATATTTAACAAAAATTGTTTGTTTCATATCCAATTCAGTATCAGTTCAGATTTTTACTGGTTTGAGATCATAATCATAGTAGCCTACAATTAGAATCTTCTTAGTTTGGGTTTCAAATAATAGAACTAGGATTAATTTTCAAGCTCTATAAATACAAGTAACAGGCTGTTTTTCTTAGGTTTATTAGTAATGGAATATTGTGAGTACTTGGTTTGAAATGCTTGGTGCTTATTCTCCTCTTCCCTTTATCTCTCCTTTTCCTATGCTGCTGTTCTTGCTGCCTTTTTTTTGCTACAGGACCTTGACTACTTTTCACAGCTCTGATCTCTTATTCTTCTCTCCCCTAATTCTTCTCTTGTCGAACTTCTTGCAACAATCTCCTATTTTTCTGCTCTAATTTCCTATAATTCAACCCTTTCTCCTCCTTTTGTTTGATGTGCCAACTCTATCCCACATCACACCACTTTGAAACCTAAGACCAAAAATTTTCAATAAGCTACATAAGCACAATGATCTATGGCCTCTTTGAGAAAGCACGATTACAATCATGTTCCCATATAGCAGTTATGTTATACTTTCTTGCATGTTCACATACTATCGTTATCTCCTGTTCTTAAGTTCAGCAATAGCACTTTCAATTTGATCCACGGAGACTCACGTTGTGTGGCTCTTATCTTCAATGCAACCAAAGTTGCACACAATCAATGCATTAGCGAACATTTTCATCACCAGATACAAGATTCCATAACTGTAGCAAGATAAATACATAAAGTATCTCCCAAAGATGAATCGTAACTAATCGCGGCACGCCCGAACCATAAACGTGTAGTCTAGTCAGACATCAACGGGCAGATACGCAGCACTCACCCTGTCACTCCGTCACTAGCGTCAGACGGCTCAGAAGCACTGACACGCTGCGTTCGCCGCCGGCGCGACTGATCTCGCTGTCAATAATCTCTTGACGCGGAGCTGCATTCAGACGGCTTCTCCTCACACGTCAATAGCTGATCCGTGAGCTTCGACGCGTCGAGCCTCTAAATCTGCCCGTATACCCTCATGCTCGACTAGTATGGTCTTGTCAAATAAAAATAAGAGATGACACATAGTCCCACTTCATTATAAATTAGCAAACAAATTAAGCAAAATTGCACAGCTCATTACTCGGCACATTTGAGAGGCAAGAACTGCATTTTACCTTTCCTTCCCTGGTCACTCAATTCGGTCTGTCTGTCTAACGTATCTGCCCCAAAGTTGGCTGAAAAATAGGAGAGTATGTGCTTCCACTTAAGAATAAGCAAACCGATGCACAAGATGAAATACAGTTACTTTCATACGTCTGGGAAAAGGTGATGCTTTTCGCCTCTCTATACCGTTTACTGGCAATGGAAAGAATTCCGTCAACGACATTTTTGTGGCTCTTCAGCCGATCATCAGCCAAGATGAATAAACTCCAGCGGAGGATCAACTGTAGAATTCGATATTGAGGCTGACAACAATACCCCCTGAACTACAGTCTGGAGAGCTTGGCTTTTGTGCTGTCTCTTGTTTGACTTCACTGTGTGGTGTGAGCCTAAAACAGCACCATACCCAAGTAAAAACCGTATAGCAACATGCTGAGCCCCTGCAATAGTGCCCCCACAGATCGAGTGCACTTTGAAAAGGAATTACAACATTTCCCCATAGATTATTTCTGGATTTCATAATTATCTCTGTTCTTAATCAGCAATCACTTCAAATTTGATCAGAGAGACACTTCGTGTGCCTATTCAACTAACAAAAGTATGCAAATAGCAACATTTTCATCACAGATACAAAGAATTGGCAAATAAACTAAAGATTCCCAAGAAATCTAACTTCGAACCATATATGGTCTTGTCAAATAAAAAAAGGATGACACATAGCCCACTTCATATAAATAGCAAACACAAATTAAGCAAATGAAGCATCATACTCGGCACATTTGAGAGGCAAGAATGCATTTACCTTTCTTCCTTCACTCAATTTCTGTCTAACTATCTGCCCCAAAGTTGGCTGAAAAATAGGGAGAATGTCCACTAAGAATAAGCAAACATGCACAAATGAAATACAGTTCAACGTTGGGAAAAAGGTTGATGCTTATACCTTTACTGGCTGGAAGAATTCGTCAACGACATTTTGTGCTCTCAGATCATCAGAAGATGAACAAACTCCAGGAGGAGTCAATGTTGAATTCGATTGAGCACTAACAACTGAACTACTAGTTGGAGGAGCTTGGCGTTTTGGCTGTCTTTGTTGACTTCCACTGGGTGACCTAAACAGCCTCCAAGTAAAAACTATAGCAACAGCGAGCCCTGCAATAGCCCCCACAGATCGAGTATCCTGATACCAATTTTAAGGTAATGAGAACTCCCAAATATTCTAAATAAAAAAACAAATTTCACTTTTTTGATAAGCCATAAGCAGACATGCAGTCAAGGAAAACTAGATTTAGGGATTATTTTGATTCAAATTTAAATTAATGTAATTTATAATTTTTCTTGTAAATTTATATTTAGAAACGTTAGCTTCTCAAACTATTTAGGGATATTTAACAAAAATTGTTTGTTTCATATCCAATTCAGTATCAGTTCAGATTTTTACTGGTTTGAGATCATAATCATAGTAGCCTACAATTAGAATCTTCTTAGTTTGGGTTTCAAATAATAGAACTAGGATTAATTTTCAAGCTCTATAAATACAAGTAACAGGCTGTTTTTCTTAGGTTTATTAGTAATGGAATATTGTGAGTACTTGGTTTGAAATGCTTGGTGCTTATTCTCCTCTTCCCTTTATCTCTCCTTTTCCTATGCTGCTGTTCTTGCTGCCTTTTTTTTGCTACAGGACCTTGACTACTTTTCACAGCTCTGATCTCTTATTCTTCTCTCCCCTAATTCTTCTCTTGTCGAACTTCTTGCAACAATCTCCTATTTTTCTGCTCTAATTTCCTATAATTCAACCCTTTCTCCTCCTTTTGTTTGATGTGCCAACTCTATCCCACATCACACCACTTTGAAACCTAAGACCAAAAATTTTCAGAAAGATGAATAGGGTGTCTTTGCAGCTTAAACTATGAATCTGTAATTTTAATCAAGAAAAAATTAACACATTCCTCCAGAAGGAAAGTAAAAAGATTGATCAAGAAATCCTTTAAGCTGGAAAGTTAAAGACTCCAGGAATACTGGGGGAATTGTTGCTAGTTGTGATGGCAAAGATCCCATTGATTTCCATAAAAGGGAGTTAAAGTGCATGGGAAGAAATAAAGGCAACACATTATGCTCCGACATAGGTTCTATACCCTCCTAAGTCCAAGATGATGATATTTCTTGGGAGCTGGAAGGGTACAACTCCATCTTATTAAGTTTCCTTTCTATTGTTATTCTATTTTTTAGTCTTACATTAAAAGAGAAAAGGTGTCAGCTTTCAGCCATGACAAGATTATTGACTCTTCTTCCTTCATTTTCTTTTTCTTTATTTTCAAGAGATCAGTTATAGCCTTGATCACAGGTTCATCAATATAGAAGTCGACACATAAAGACATTCATATATTGTCCAAAACATTCAAACACAAGATATCTCCATTATCAAAACTTGCTTATTAATTTCCCCCTGGACTGCATATCCCTTTGCTTTGTCTCCAGTTTGTAGGCAAAGAAAATGCTACTTCTATTGAGCAAAGACAGGTGTTTTGTAGGCCTGGGTATTTTGTATCCATTGAGCGAAGATGGGTTGTATATCTTGATGTGTCCCAAAAGTGCTCATAGTATTATTATGAACACATAAAGCCTAGAAAATACATAACCAATTAAGATGTTATATGATTGCATCAGTACCCCTAAGAACACAATCTAATATATCGTTGTATCGAGTAGTTGGATCATAGTCTCTTACCATAAAAATGGCTGCACGTGCAGCAGCACCAACTATAAGAAACCCATCAATCCACATGTGATGTGTGAAATGATAGATGTATGCCACAATCATTAGCTAGATATTGATAAGGGGGCATGGGCATACATGTGGCGATACTATAAGCTACAGTTAAACAGTCTACTCTTTTCTATTCTTAAGGCTGCAGTCGGCAGAGCCACAAATGAATAAGAAGTTTTAGCTTTTAGCTAAGAACGACTAACCATAGTTATTTACATTGAAATTTTTAAAATATTAGTACATTTCAAAAATTGGTTCATTAAAAACTAAGAGAATTTATTATTACTCATCAAATCTATATCAACTTAACAAGTAACCATAAGAATTTCTAATACTGGTTGATAAATGGATGGATCTTATATGATCAAGTTCAATAATGTAGAGGAAATAATATAAATCACAAATATTTTCTCCTAAATTGTCCAATTCCTGCGAGCCACCCTAAAATTACTAGTATAGCTATACCAATGCAAAAAACCATAGTCAAATGAAGGTCAGCCACTTCTGCCAGAGCCTTGAGGCTAGTAAATGGATTTGACCGTGACAAGCAATCATGTATCTGGTAGCTCAACCTCACCCATGAATATTCATTTGAAAGGTAATTCAATAAAGGAAAGGGAACTTTTTCCCAAGTTGACTCTCCAGGGCGCTTAATACATGGCAGTCCAAACTCATCCAAATGAATATCTCACTCTCGTTGTTTCTTACGCATAAAACGTCAAACCCCACAAACCACTGATGGTTACATACTTCTTCACGAATTTCTTAGTCTATAGATATAAAATATATCGAATTGGGCTATTATTCCCAATAACAGCCGCTTAAACGAAATGCTTTCTACAACATCTCTAAATACACAAAATTCCAAAGACAAAAATGCAGAAAATCAAAATTAGACGCATTTATAGCCCAGTCAACTAAAAAACGGAAATTAGATTTCAGATCGAAACAGAAAATTGAAATTAAATGACGAAATTGAGAAGGGAAGAGAGATAGAAACCAGATTATGGAAAGAGATCGGGAAGAGATTGGACATCTTGAAGGTTATGTAAGCGCCAAACCGCTTGATCAGCTGAACCAGCTCTTCCTTCGATGACTCTGCCATATGCCCTAAGACAGCAATCCCCCTATCTTTTCTCTCTGTTATACTATCAAAAACGCCACGTCGTTTGTGGTCAAGCAAGAATGAAAAAGCGCTTTTGCTTCAAGGAGAAATGCTTAGATTCTCAGGTCTTCCATTGATTTGACAAGGCTCTTCTCTTTTACGTTAATAAATTCTTGAGATAGAAGCAGAGACCAGTTCGGCTTTGCTTTTGCGATTCCCAACGGAGACAGAGTGTGCGTTTCTTATGCTTTTTTGTTTTTACTTGTTTTGTTTTGTTTAATTTATTAGTATTATTATTTTAACAGAAAATTATTGTACGGTTTATGTATTTTAACTACTCCGCCTCGCTCTTTTAGAAAAAAAGACTAAAAATTTATAATTTATTTACAGTTAGAATATAACGTGTTTGTCCATTTTTTTACATCTTTTTAGTTAAGGAATTTATTACATCTTTTCAGTTAAGTAATTTATGAAATAAAAAAAATACCTCTTTTATTTTTAAGAATGTAAGAACGAACTAATTGTATTTTTTAAATAATATAGACTGCACTGTAATTCTAGAATAATATTTTTGTGTCTCTCTTTTCACCTCTGTATTTTCTTATTGACTTGATAGAAAAGATATAAAAATTAGACAAAATGATATAATAATATAACAAAAGCAAAATATATAAATAAATTAGTTTATTTTTAAAAAGACAGGGACATATTAGTTGTATTTTGCAAATCACATTATGGTCTTCTCAAAAAAATTTTGACATCTGGCTTTTAGTTATAGATATGATTCGGTGTGTCCAATCTCATTATTATAGTTAGACCATCTAACGACTGTGATTGTTCGAAAATTAAAATTAGAAATGATATCATGTAAGGTTTGTTTGAACAGGGACCTACCTTAGTGAAGATCCCGTTTGATTCACTTGATTTATACAGTTGATACATTATATACTTTATAATATATTCACTTTGAAATTAAGAAATATATACATTATACATAATAACATATAAAAATAATTATATTTTTAATTGCATTTTAAGAGTAACCATTATCAAAATTTTAGCAGCCAAAAGCATAAATTTACTTCTTATAGTTTACGCGATTTTCCTTGTGGCACGTTATAGTTTGCGTAGAACCCATGTCCCTGAAATTGTCACTTCCATTAACAACCATGCACCTAATTAAAGCACAAGAAGTGCATGCAAATCAAATACAATGACGTGGAAAGCTCTCTTAAAGTTGTTGCTTAGTCACCAAACCGTGGCTTTCTTTTTATACTAGGTTTTGCCACATAGGCTAATTGAGGTAATTTTCCTCCAAATAAAAAATAGGCTCCAAATCATATAACTTTTCACCACCCAAAGTTCTTATTTCTCTCACCAAACAAAAGCCAATGCACAATAGGGTTAAACAACTCCATTCAATTTAAAGAAGCACATTCAAAAATCTTCTTGGCAAAGGCACCAAGAAGAGTATAGAGCGAGAGTTGTTGAAAGGATTTCAGTTTGCAGTGAATCATGCATGTGGAGAATAGTGCATTGAGTGACTTCTTCGTAGAACCAAAGGAACTGGAGTTAGTTTATTCCTTTATTTTGCCCTTGTTTTTTTTGGTTTGGAAATGCGCTACGTTTGTGATATTTTTATGAAATATTGAGTAAAGGTTTTATTTTTTTAGGGTGTCTCACATGCTTCACTTTCTCAGATTCCTTTTATGCATTTCTCTGTGCTTATAGTGTGTATATATAATTTTTTTTATTATTGATAGAATTTGCTTATAGTATTAATATTTTGATGTCTTTTGTGGCTTTGCATTGTTGGAAACTATAATAATATATATATTTAAATAGAGGAATTACCTTGTGATTTCAGATGGTTGATAAAATTGTTAGTCTGAGATGGTTCCACGTACGGTGCGAGAAATGGATGGATCTATGTAAGCTATCTCTTGTAGATTTAAAGCAAATAGCTGGGGATTTAGGTTATAGCAATGTGCATGCTATTTATAAGAGATGGTTCATTGGGAGAGATTATGAGACCTTTAATAAGATTAAAGATGCTGTTGATATGTTGTATAAGTATAGTTTGTTACAAGATGGTCAAACTCTTGACTTTTTTTATGGAGCATTATATTATGAGCCAAATATTATTGATATACCTCTATTAGGAGGTCTTGTGCAGGAGGGGGCAATAAATGTGAATCAAAATATAGATGGAGTACTTAATGAGAGCGGGAAATAAGTGTTAAGGATAATTTAGACTTTGGGATTAGAGTTCAAATGTAAATGTCACTGAGGTGAGTTCAATTGAGGATATAAATATGGTCCAAACCATAGCCCTTTACCTCATAGTGGTTAGTACATTGTCAATGCAAACATCGCAACTGTTAATAATAATAGTGATAGCTTTGAAGAGGAAAGTGGAGATGACTCAAGTGGCAGTGATAAGGATGAGGAATCTGAAGGTAATAAATTTGAAGATGATGAAGAAGATTTTGATGGGGGAGGTGATGAAAGTAATATAGATGAGGAATTAAGAAAGAATAGAGAGAGAGAGAGTAAAAAGCTTCAACAGAAGAGCCAGGGCACTAAGAATAGAAGACACCACTAAAGATGTTTCTTTAAGAGAAGTAGGTACTGATTTTGAGTTTAAGGAAGAGGATTTTATAAATGATAAGTATAAAGGTTTGATAGGGGGTGAGCCTTATGAAAATAGCTCAGATCTAGACATCCATGTTTTAGTCAGTAATGATAATTCAGGTGGGGATAATGCAAGTAGCTACTTATCTAATTTGAGATGTCTTCACCATATATTCTTAGTTGATTCACAATTTGAAGAATCTTTATACTATAATCTTTAATATTCTCATTAACTTTCATTTTTAATGCTTCAAATTTTCTTTGTGAAGTGTGTAACTTTACTTGTTTTGCTCTTTTAAAGCTTTGATTTTCTTCCTTTAACAAATCTCACACTATCTTATTTGTCTCAGTACCCATAATCTTAGGAAAGATAGTCTAACTGACTGCTAAGTGAATGAAAGACAAAGATTTGAATGTCTTTAAAGCATCCTCTATTTGTTGCTTCATTTGGGTAAGAGTTGGGTTTGCTCTTAGTGGAGGTGGCTCATAATCCTTCTCCATCACCTCTTACAAATAATTTGAATATAAAGGTAATTTGAAATCAACTTTACATGATATGTTAGTACAATGAAATAAATTTGCTACATAAACACAATGACACTTGTTGGCAATTGACCTGGAGTTCTAAAGCAAAGGTTTAACCCCAAAAAATGCCTATATCTTAAAAATAAGTTCCTTCCAAATATCATCCAACACTAAAAGGATTCTTTTAGAATCCATTATTCTCCCATGTGGTTGTCCTCATCTTTCAAATATGCTCTCCACATTAAATTTTAAACCTAGCATATCAGCAAGTTTACACTAAATTAGAAAGCAAGTTGAAAATTTAAGCTCAATTTACCTTTTCTTTTTGTAATCAACATTTCCCCTTTATTTTCTTTCTTTTGTAAGAAAATATATCCTTATTGTTTTATATATGCAAGCGAAGATGTAAAATCAACCTAATAGCAACAAAAAAAAATGAATTAATTATAGAGAAAGAAAATAAGAAATTGATTAATTAAATATAAAAAAGAAAGAAAAAAGAAAAATTATTATACATACTTTTTCCACTAAATAGATAACGGGACCGTGAAATGAATATATTTGAAACGAATATCTACTATAAGCTTGCATAAATTCAAAGCAAGAAGTTCATAAATTAGCAACACATAAAGATTACATATGATCAATGTAAGCTTTAAAATGCTAATTCCAAGCTTAAAACTATATGATAAAATATAAAGCTCTTCAATTTAATCATTCAATTCAAAGGTAGTCTCTTCCAGCATAATGCATATATAGTTTAAGTGCAAATTATTATATGAGCAAAATGCAACATTATACATAGAAGCTCAAACTATAAACTAGCAAATTATATGAATAATGATTTTTGAAAATATCACATTAAAGTCAAACTAAAGAAAAAATATTTACAAAAAAATGTAATAAAAATCGAACCAAAATTAGAAATTCTGAAAATTAAAAATGCAATTTATTAAAATAATTTTACAATTAGAAATAAAAAAAGATTGAGGGAGGACAAAAGAGAAAATCTTATTTCACTAAATTACAAAATAATTAATTTAAGATTATAATAATATTTTACTATGATTATAAAAATTTCTACCTTATTCATATAATCCTTAATTAAATGCATATATTTCCATTAGTATTCTATGAATAAGATTAATTAAATAAATCTAGGACAATATATAATGAAGTGTCATCAACTATTTTTTACTAATTTATTCTATTCCTTTTTAGGTCACATTTTTTTGGGAGAATTTAGATGAAAACTAACAAGTCAGTCATTTTATTTTATGTCAAGTTACGGAGTCAAGAATTTTTTTTAAAAAGGCTAAAATAAATTTATTATTTAATATTAATAAATACGTTTACATATTCAATTCCTTACATAAACCTATAGTAATAATAGCAATATAATTTTATTATTTATTATTCAATCTTCACATTTTTTATAATTAATCAAAATTAATAAAATAATTATATAATACTTATAACTTAACTAAAATAATTTGGATACATATATATATATATATATATATATCAGCAATATGAATTTTATTATTTATTATTCAATCTTCAACATTTTATATAAGTTAATCAAAAATTAATAAAATTAATTATATAATACTTATAACTTAACTAAAAATAATTTGGATACAATATATATATATTATATATTATATAATGTTAGAGCTGTCTTATAAGTGGTTATATATATATATATATATATATAATGTAGAGCTTGTCTTATTAAGCTGGTTCTAACTAACATGGTCACAATTCACAATCATTTTATCAGAAATAAGCGCAAAAATTTTGAGATTTCTATACTCATTATCTCCTCAGTGGGTATTAAAATAGAGCCTATGATAAAAGTTTTCTCTTGACACCAATATGGATATATTACAACCTCATGGTTTCTAGGTATCTAAGAGAGAATATTTGTTTGTCTAAAATTTTTTTTTTCTCTCTCATTTCACTATTTTTTTTTTTTTCCGTAAATTCAGTTGAAGAAGCTTATGTTGAAGGATAAATCTTATGAAACCATCATGGTTTGGGATGATATAGTTTTTGGGTTAAACGATGATATGAACAAGTCTTTCAAGGTACTAGTTATGGGATCCTACATCTCAGTTGAGACAGTATTCTACTATTATAAAGACAATCGTCCTTATTAAAGAATAGATAGTAAGTATATTTGGTCACTCTTTCTCTGGAGTTGTTCTAACCTGGTACCACAAGATTGATAAGAAGGCCGAATTGGAGGGAATTGACTTCCTCTTCAATAAGACACTAGTCTTACGACAATTATTTAGAGATTTCGGAGGATCTGGAGCTTACCGAATAGAAGAATGGAAAAACCTTCTTCGAATTTATGGTTAGATGGAGAGTTAAAACTGCTCAGATGAAAGTTAGGTTGGAAATCAGACATCAAACTAAGATCTTCATTAAAGGCACTTAGCCAACTATCAGGGATAAGTTGATATTACCCTTTGAAACCCTTTAGAGATGCATATGATGTGGGCATTCAAACGAAAGAAGTTTTAGGATGGAAAAACTATAACTTTAAGTGGGAATCAATAGTAGAAAAGCTTCGACCGGACGATACTTCTAACCACCAACACATCGCCATTCGACAACCACAAAGGGTGGTTGAAGTAGCGTTCAATCATGGCCCTCTCGATGGTGCACAAGTACAATGGAGAAAGTACAATGGAGAATCCATCGAATTGTTGGCATCTGAACTAACTTAATTTTGACTCGATTGGTTTAACTTGCTTGACTCAAAATTTGGCTTTTCAATAAAGCTTCCACTCACCTTCTCTCTTCCTCAATTTAAATGGGCTAATCAAAATTATCACTAATGTCTCTAGTCCCCTCTCTAACATATACATATACACAAACACATGCTTTTGTATAATAAAATATTATAATAATACTAATGACAATACCATCAATTATTGTAAAAATAATGCCCATAAACTACTAATGAAGCATAATAATACTATTTAATGAAAATAATATTTCTAATAATAGCAATGATTAAATAAATGATCCTTAATTTAATATAACCCGTTAATATTTCTGCGAGAATTAACCATATCCATATTTGCACAAAAATTTCTAACATAATAATTAGTATTTTGAAATTCAATTTTTTAAAAATGAAAAATCAGGGTTTTACGTAAATCATAACCACTTTTCAAATAATACATAGACTTATTCCCTGCCTTTACACTTTGTTTGGAAAAGAGAGGAAAGAAAATAAGGGAGGAAAGAAGAAAAATTAGAGAGAAAAATAATGAATGATTGTATTATTTATTTTCTTTTTTATTTTTCACTTTATGTTTGGATTAGAGGAAAATGAAGGGAGGAAAAAAAAATAATATTATTATAAAATTTACAACTTTACCCTTGACTATATAAACCAATGGTCTAAGAATTATTGAATCTAAATATAATTAAGTACTATTTTAACAAATAAAAATAATTTAACCATCTTAAAAAATTTAACTAGTAAATTATACATACCTCCTATTTTTTAAAACTAACACATGCCTCCCTAAATTAACGGTCCATTACATAATTACCTCGCTCCCTCCCTCCTATGTTTTAATGACAAATGATGACCCTTGTAACCTTTGATATATTAATTACTTCTACTCCTTCATCTCTCCTTTCAGAATGAAATCATATTTCTTGCTTTCTATTTCTCATGGCAGAGAGTCCACCGCTGGCAGAGAGGGGTCACCACTCCACAGTGTTGCCTGAAACCATTTATCAATTTACAGCGATTATTATTTTGATCATCAAATGGTATTCAATTATAAAAATAATTGCATATTCATATCTCACGAGTCGAACATGAAATTGTGGCTCTATTGAGATATTTTTTCAGCCACCGAAGCCACCACCGGCCCACGGCAGACCCACCATCTATAGTGGCTGAAATTGTTACTACCCACTAAACAATGAAAAATTATAGACAAACTTCAGAGTGGAATTCAACTATGCTATCAATTTAATCAAACAATAACTAATTCTAATCCAATTGATAAAAAAAAAAAATCCCATTTCAAACCTAACTTAACAATAATTAAGAAATCCGCAATATTCATAAATTAGCCAAAGATATGTAAAGGCGACAAGGTATCAATTTATACCTATCTGGAAGGAGGACGTCATCGACGATGGTGGAAGGTGACCGGAATAGCGTCTGATCGATGTCTCTCTCCCTCCTCCTCTCTTGTCGAACGAAAAGCGGGACATAGGTCCAAGAGGTGAGCCGACGGGATGGAGAAGAGATCAATTCTACTGATAACGTGACTCTCAAGCCAAGCTTTATTGGGTGCTCGCCGAAAACTGAGCGGTAGAGGAGACGCTGGACCAAAGCTCGTGATCTCCGATAGCGTTATTGAGGAGAAAAGGAAAATTTTTTTTATAGTTTTGGTTCAATTAGCTAATTCTAGAAGGGTTCTGGTGATCGGTTCAGTAATTTTTTGTGGTTTCTGTTTGAACCGGTTCAATTAGCTAATTCTATAAGGATAGAATTGTCTTTTTTTTTTTTTCTCTTTCCTCTGATCTTAATTTATGAGGTAGACTAATAGAAAATTAGGCTGATGTCGAATGGAGGGAGTAGTTGTGCGATGGACTGTTAATTTAAGGAGGTATGTGTAAATTTTACTTTAATCTAGGAATGTGTTTTTTTCTCTATTAATTTATTTGAGTACTATTTAAATAAATTAATCACCATCTAGATAAAAATAATACTATTTGATTACTCTAGAAAAAAAAAAAAAAATTGAGACCAAAATCCTTTTCGTATCTTATTCCTACTCAACTAAAAAGCCTTTTGTAATTTTCTCATATTGTCTAGATAAATCTCTTCTTCTACACCGGTCTTATCTAATTCTTTCAATTCTATGAATTTGTTTCCCTTCTCAACCTGTTTGTAATTTTTCTATAGGCTTTTGCTTTTTATTTGATGGTTTCATTTTAATTTAATTTCTCATTTTTCCATTTAGAAAAAGGTCCAGATCTATGGCTGTATCCTGCAATTTGGAGAAGTTAAGTTAAAATGGAGATATGTATGTATGGGTTGCTTTGTAATTTCAGAGCCAAACAGTGAAATTTTCCCAGCAATCAGATACTTCCTCTCCAATTTGGAGAGATTGCAAGTTTGCAGACCCGGAAGGAAAATATTGATTCAGCTATTTTCTCTCCACCTCCCAAACATTCCATCAAAATTTTCTTTCCTGTGATAAAATCCACTCTTCCAAACAGAGTGTTAAGTTAACTTTAACCTTAACCATAACTTGGTAAAAACTTCTAGAATTGATTACAATCATCCCCTTTTTTCTGCTAATCAATAAATTTTACATATTATAGACTGATCTTTAGCAAAATATCAAAATTACATTATCTAAGATTACAGCAAAAGTGTCACAAAAATCTCCAGCAAGATGAAGTTGGAGCCACATAAACCAAAAAAAAAAAAAAAAAAAAATTACAATCAATCCACTTCATTTTTCTCGCTAACTTCCAAATAAAATTTTACCACGTACTTATTAACTGATCTATTATGCCAAAATATAAATATTCCACACTTATCTAGAGAATTACAGGCAATAACGTGTCACCGAAATTCCTCCAGCAAGAATGGGAGCAGTTGGATGGCACACATAAACCAAAAAACAAATAGAAAGAACAAAAAAACACAATCCCAATTCCAACCAAACAATACTGAACACATGAAATAAACTATAAAAAAAAAAAAAAAAAAAAAAAAATTCAATTCCAAAACAAACTGAACATGAAATAAACTATAAACTCTGGCAATTCAGTGAAACCAATTTCTACTTTTTTTTCTTTTTCCTTCAGTTTTGCTTATATGAGTATATAAATATGAAGCAGAGAGAAGAAAAGTCTAGATTGCAAGAACTAATTAGCCAAGAAAGAAAAAAAAAAAACAAAAAGAAAATCAATCCTCTAAATGAGATGGTGAAGAATTTGATTTATCTTCTACAGAAATTTCTGTCAAATCATCCAAGGAATTAGAAGGTATTGCCCTTTCAATTTTATGGATTGAACCATTCAACAACATCTCTTTTTCCAGGTGCAAGCAATAGCTCTCAAATGCTCTAGAACTGACCATAACTCCAAAATCTAATAGGAAAAGGAGTTCAATTTCCAGTTTGTTCAATTCTGCATTGCTCACTCCCCCAACTCTTGCATAGAATGCATTGTCACAGTGCCTGCAGAATTGAAAAATCCAGGAATTATATATATGTATGTTTCTTACACTATTTTAATTCTATTTCTTTTTTTTTTTTTTTTTTTAATCTATTTCTTTATTTTTTTTTTTTTTGCAATCTAGGGGAAAGGGATGAAATCTGATCTATTGTCCCAGAATCCAGTCATATCCTACTTTTTTTTTTTTTTTTTTTTTTTTGAATATTAGGGGAAGGGATTTGAATCTAGATCTATTGTCAGATCGTATATCTACTTATTGCTAGTCTATGTCTTGGTGTGTATTTTAATTCTACATTTTGGTTTGTATCATCCCAAATAGCCTAAACAAATTCCCCAGACAAAGAAATTACTAATTCAACTCTAAATTTTCTTTAAATCAAGATATTATCAATTCAACAGGATCATTAACAAAATAGATGATTAATTCAATATTACTTTGTAAATACTTTCCTCTTTAAATCAGGATTTTGTCAATTCAAGAAGAAAACCATTAACAGAAGAAATTATTAATTCAATTACTAATTTTGCTTTAGTACCAGATGAAATTCGAATTCCCAATTAACATCACCTGTATCATTAGGCTAAAGCAGTTTAATTCAGTTACTATTATTGGTAAATATTATAAACAGAAGCATTTAAAAATACAAAATCAAGAAAAGTATAAGACAATTAAAGAAACATATGTGACAGTAACTATATCAAATCCAAAAAAAAAGTGTAAGGAGAGAGAGAGAGCACTTACTCATCATCTAGCATCTTAGAAGCAACCATAACACATGTAACCAGAAGCCTGTGCACATTCAATGATATAATAAGAGAGTCAGGATGTTTATGAAGCAGCCTGTCTAAATACACATATCCAACCACAAAACAAGAAGGGCTGCAATTTGTGTACTTATAAAGCCTTTCCAAATATTTTGGAATGCTAATGCTTGGTGCTCTTATCCCATGAAATGCATTTAACCTTTTTCCAACCCTAGAGCTCATTATGCAACGCACAAGCTTATCATTTCTAGCCACCAGCTTCTCTATCACAGTAGATAATATGGTCAACACTCTTGGTGTGCTTTGCTCCGAGTGACTCGGCTCTGGCTGCCGGTCGACGGAGAGCTCGCCGGCGGCTAACATTTAGCACCCATCAAATGGGGAGTGAGTGAAGGGAAAGATTTGGAGACATTTTGATGGCTTTTATGTTATCTACTTAGTGGGGCTATCATGAAATGGGTTTTTGACACGTGTAAATTTCATGACCTGTCAGTAGCTTTTTTTAAGGTGATGAGATTTTTTATGTTAGTGTATGGAGAAAATGAAGGGTGTGGATTGAATGATATAAATTTGACAATGAAATGAAGATGGAATATTCTTGGACAATAACGATTCATAGAATGGGTGGTTCATCTTTGTCTGGAGTACAAAGTGTAGACAAACCAGAAAGTAGATGGTTTGATAGTACTCCACAATCAAAGTAAAATTTCATTAAGTGGAATTTGTTTATTTCTATATTTTTGTATATAAAGTCTAATAATAATTCACTCGTACGAAGAATAAAAAAAATACAATTTTGATTTAAAATATTTAATTAAATTGATAAAGCATAATATTTGTGTCACAGGCAATTGCTTGCTCTACTTGGTGCCTATTCATGGCCACTGTTCGACTTTACAGTGTTTCTATAAGTCCGATCTAATTATTTTAAAATTTTTTTTTATTAGAGATGAGATCTGCACTTCTTAAAATTTAAAATTGCATGTTAATTTTGCTACAAAACACCTAATAATTAATGAGCACTTAATATACTCTTAAAATTCTAAATGAGCACTTAAAATGAAATAAGGTAAAATGCATTTACGGATAGAGGAACATAGCCATTAAATCATCAACCGATTTGTAATAAGCACATGATCAGAGATAGTAATAAATAGTTGTTTGACATCATGGTTAATGAATTAAAAGATTGTTTTTTTGAATAATGCTTAATTTACTTCTTGAAACTCAGCATGATATAAAGTTTACCTACAAATCAATTTTTTCCCAATTGTAATTTTGCACCAAACGAGCAAAACGCGTAATTTTTGATAAAAATTGCAATAATAATTTTTAACCTTTTAACTGATGTAATTTTTTATCAATTTTAAATAGAATACTAATTATATAAAAAGTTAATTTTTGAGTAAATTGTATATCCACTCAAGTTCAAGGAGCAAAATAAGGCTTCTTTTTTTTTTTTTTTATGTTTCTGCAATCAAATGATTTTTTTTCCTTTTAATTTTGTAATAATTCAATATATATATATTCCTTGGAGAAATCGTTCTCAAAGTCAAAACAATAAGTTTGTTAAAGAAAATAAGATTTTTTTTAATTAATCAAGCAAAATTGAAAATTAAAAATAGAATGAATAGAACTTTTCAGCAAAACTATGGAGGGCATTGTCCAAAATCTCCATGATGCTGGTGGTTGTCTGTCTATACATTGTGATTACTGGAAAACTAGTAACTTGGCTTCCTCGTTTGAGATATCATTAACAGAGAACTGAACATTTGCTTTGGAACTCATTTTATTCCACTCATTTTCAACGCGAAAGAAAATCCACTGGAAACGCCGGACCATCTCCAACAGATTAATCGTGAAAACCGTAAGGTAATTATGTCGGAGATGGGCAGATAGCTTGTATGTCCATGTGCATCGCAGAATCAAATTGCTTCCTATAACCCAAAAATATACCTGCAATTCACAAATGTATATACTTGTAATATAGAAATAGATCCAAAAAAAAGTATATTATTCTGATCAGTAGGAAAGTACAGAAGTAAATATTCTTCTGGAAATTAATATATATTTTTTGAGCTAAATCAAAATGAACATCACTTGAGCAAAACCATCGTTCAATGATTGGATCAAATGGAAATTGTCTGGTTGGTTTCTCGAAACCAGGATTCAGGTGTCAAAACAACCAGGCGAAGAAAGGCTCTGGTTTAACTATTAGCTGCAGTCCTAGAAACTCAAATGCTCATCCAATGCATACTACAGTGGATATATATTCTTACCCATTTTCGTCCATATAGCAAGTACGAGCAGAGGTTCGGTTTGTTGAATTTGAAAATTCGAGTGAAGCAGCTGACAAAAGAAGAAAGGAGATCAATTAATGAACATTTTTGAAGATTTAAATCATTTAGTGACTTTCTGCAATGGGCTCAGTTAAATATTGATATTGAGGTGATTATGAACCTCTCTTAAGTAGAACCAATTAGGCAATGGCATTCCTAGGTTGGAGACCAAGGAATCAAACATGACAATTAGCTAAAGTTGTGTAACTGTAAAAGTGCAAACAAACATACCTCAAGTCCCAATCCCGAGTCACATCCCAATAGAACGAATACAATGAGTTCAGAACACTTGATAAAAGCCATAGCGGCCTATAAAAATTTGTCCACCTCTCAGGGATGACATGATATTTAAGGGCTGAAAGAAAAATCACTGGCACCGCAGTCGAATATTTTAAAGCTGAAACCATAAGCAAATAAGTTACTGCAGTTTTCAGAAACAAAAAACATCTCTATGTATAGCCCCAATATGAAAAAGGAAAAAGTGGTCATAGCTGTAATTTTTGCAGAGGATTACAAGCTTGCAAAGAATAAGTGAAACAACGGTGGGAAGGAAAGAAGAATAAGAAGAAGTTGTATGTCAGAAAGTCGCAAAATTTAATTTCAGTTTTGCTTCTTTCCAATTGACTAAGTGGTAAAAAATACTTCAGAATTAATCAAGATGGGAAGAAAATAAATATAAGTCCAACTGATGACAACTTTAATAAAAGCAATGATGAATGCAACATGCTGAAAACAAGTCAGAAAACCACTATCAACGGGCCAAAGCTTTCAAGAGAATAGTACAACTTTCAATGTGAAATTTAGATTCCTTATAACAAATAATTTGTCATTAAATTTCACTTTTCTGATTGAGGGCTTTGAATTTATGTAATTTCACAAAATTCATATAAGACTTTTTTTTTTTTTCCAATTACACGGGTTCGTAAAATCTCTCTTGCATACTGTAAAGATTAATATATGAATTTGAAGGGTGTTTCTATAAATTTAAAAAAAAAAAAAAATCAGAATCCTCATCATTGAAATGTGGGATTTGGCAAAATCACACCTCCAATGTGTGATTTTAAACTCCCTCAATCTGGGACATTATGGTGAATTATTAGGGATTTCGAACAATCCATGGATCTTACTCTTTTGCTGTGTAAAACAAGAGATTTAAGCAACGGACTATTCAAGATCTCTCGTTCAAGTCCCTCAAACCAAACACTAGCCTAATGAAACTGGAGCTAGTATAATCAGTATCGCAGCTGAATTCAACAAGTCATTCTAAGTTTAAAAGCTAGCAATGAAATTACACTACAGGTTATTTTACAAAGCATAAATGACAATATAGAACAACCAATTTTGCAAAGCCTTCAGAAAATATTTGAAAATAATCAAAGGAAAGAAAGATGGTTGATAATTATATAAATCAAAACGGACAAAGGACCAGAGGAGAATTTCCAAGTGAATTTACCATTAAATAGAGATGTTTTCTCCCTGGTATCCTTGTATTGTCGAAGACATTGGAACAACCTGAAAATGTAAGGTGAAACAAGGACTAAAGGAATGACAATAGAGTGACTGCCACAGACAGAATCAGCCTCAAACCATGCAATGGTGGCGACCTGCATGCATTCAAACAAAAACTTTTGCCTTAAGACAGAAACATAGGTCACTACTTGTAGCAAACTACATTCACCGAGATAGGAAATTTTGTTTAATAGTATTATATATGAGACAGAAATCAATTCAGGTATGATTAAACAAATTTAGTAGTAAAATGCTAATGATTGGAGCGCCATGCAACTACAGGTAGATCATTTATGGCTTTTTAGAAAACCCTTTGTCCCGCTGTTTCCACCTCAAGAATTCTTTGCAAATGAGAAGACGTCAAAAGACAGCTTAACTTTTCAAATAGAACCTCCTACATCAATATGTAAATGCCTGGTTTATCACGAATATGCAATAAATCACTCTGAATGGTTTAACTTTGCACAGCGGCAAAACGCTTACCTGTCGATGAACCATTCGACATGCTGAACGCTCCAAATCTGAAAAAACCTGCACATAATTGATATTTATGAGAACATCGTGAAAGAGCAGCAACAATAACAATAACCAAGCCTTAGTCCCAAACTAGTTGCGGTCGGCTATATAAATCCTTTGCTTAAAATTCTGCTCTGATCAGGTCAATACCCATTCAAAGCAAAAACACTGTGAATGAGCAGTGGTAGAAATTCTAAGTAAAAACTGTATCCTGATACCTCAATTTGAATATAATGTTAATGCTTAACAGTAGTAAAATTGTAAATAATAGCTAAACCTATTTTATAAATTCTCCAATAAGCCTTTAAATTAATACAAGAAAGGAAAGTTGAACCGTGAGCGAGAAAAATAAGAAGATGCATTGGAAAGAGCATATTTTTCACACCAAGCAGGAAAAGGGGAAAAGCAATTTGTGTTCATGACCTTTTTTGCTTATATTTATTAGCCAGTTCGAAGACTGATTTTCCAGCAATAAGTCATGAATCTAGCCAAGTTTTCAAACCTATGAAAATGGCTCAACACTAGAAACATCAAACCAGTTGAAAAATGCAGTCCTCAAACTAAACTGATTTTGGAACCAACCACATTATGCAACAACTAGAATCATCTACAAGTTAATAAAAGGAACCAAAAATCATAACTTAATGAATACAGCACGGATTCCCTAAAGTATTTGTCAAACAAGGTTTAGGAAATTGGAAAATAAAAGGTGCAAGGACAGGGGGATGATACACCACCATATTTCCAATGTCACACACATAAGCAAGCCTTAAACACAAAATGGCTAAACCTAAATGATAGGATACATACCTTTGACATGGAGGTCAAAATATCGGCCAAGAAAAAATCAGAAAATGTAATTGCCTGTAATAATAATATAACCATAAAATCAAACACAATGCAGCCAAACTGGTATGAATGACAAAAATTAAAATAATAATAATAATAATAATAATAATAATAATAATCATAGGTGAGGTGACTGATAAAATTCTCTTGCAGACAAGAAGAAAAGTTCTATTGGTCCACTGCTGCACATACTGGGTAACTATGCCTTGTAGGGAAGTTAGAGTGGAAGTCAGCTGTCCCATCTCTAGCATGGATAACCTAGTGATCTTAATAGTGTCTACTCCATGGACCATCAATATATGACAGCATAATCAAGTAATGTGTCATAAGCTGCAAAGCCAGTTGATATTGCAACATGCCTGGCAGCGTTTTTGTTTTCAATGTGCTTGTGTGCATCAATATAGGCAGAAATATATTTTTTAAATTATGCTTAAAACAAGTTATACATTTTTTTTACACACTTCCAATTAGCAGCATTGGTAGATGTCCAAACAAACTAGAATCAACACATAAGGACAAATCTTGCAAGACATCACTTTTTAAGAAATATGATAGATGAAACCTGAATTTCATACTTGTCATTCATTTAGCTTTTCAGGTCTTTATCAGGCTTTTCAGAAGTCCACTCAACAGCCGAAAATTGACAAAATGAATGAGTTAACCATGACAGGAAATAACCAAACCTACCTGCAGTGGGAAAACTATCCGCCAAAGGGTCCTTAACAAGTAGTAGCGGGATGATAAATAAAATATATCAAACGGGAATATCAAAACCATCATGACCGCTAAGTATAAGAGGACCTGCAATAGAAAGAAAGTTAACTGAATACATTTCCAACATCATAACAGTGGTCATAACAGATGGATTTTACTTTTGTCCACATGATATATGGTTGTGTAATGGTGAAATCTAGATAAAACATCATAATTTTCATTACAAAGGAATACATACACATTCTTAATGTTATTCCTCCACAATTTTCATTATCTTTCCAAATTCTAATTCTAGTTAAAATTGTTATCAGATTCAAAATTAAGAACTCAAATGTTGTCCAAACTAACAATTTTTAGTGGCCATCTAATCTTTAAATGAAAATGCTTATTCCATTCAGAAAAGGGTAGAACATTATGCTTCACATGACAATATTCAATTAATTTTCTGAAGTTAAAAATAAAGAAATGTAAATTTTGCTGGACCATTTTTTCAATATAATCAACTCATCTAATTTTCTATCCATAACAACTTCTAAAAAATATAGCTTGTCAAACCTTGACTTTCTTTGAAATTCCAAATTCAGCAGGTCAGTGTTTTCTGATAAAAATAAAGTGATAATAGTAATATAGATTATAGTAGCAGCACTGACTCAGGAAACCAGCTGTGACATCAGCAAATCTATGGAAGTAATCTTTTTTTTCCTTCTTCTTCTATTTATAACAATAAAACAGAATGCTGCGTACTATAGACCCAAAGTGGTCCGACCTTCCCCAGACCCCATGCAATGTGAGAGCTTCATGCACCGGACTGCCTTTCTTTTTTTTTTTTTTTTTTTTTTTGCAAATCTATGGAAGTAATCTTTTTTTTGCCTTCATTGCTTCCTAATTATAACAATAAAACAGATGCTGCGTACTATAGACCCAAAGTGGTCACGCAACATCTCCCCAGACCCCCAATGCAAATGTGAGAGCTTTCATGCACCGGCCTGCCTTTCTTTTTTTTTTTTTTTTTTTTTTTTTAATAACAAACGAGCATCAATTAAACTAACTTATTTTTTTTTTTTTTTTTTTTTTTAATAACAAACAGCATCAATTAAAACCTAACTTATGCAGGAGAAAACAAAAGGACCCCAAGAAAACTGAAAAAGTTGTTGCATTAAGATTTTTATTTATGGTGGAAACTGATGCAGAGTCAATGGCATAATATACCAACAGAACATAGGAATTGTCAGCGAGTAAAAAGAGCATCTATTACACTGGTTGTGATGCAGCCAACGATACTTCTCCATGGGAATAAAGGTAAAGATATGCAGTCATGCTAGTTGGGACAACAATGGTCATCCATGTAGCAACCTGCACAAAGAAAACAAACGGTTAGCTTATGCAAGTATATAAAAACAACAATGCATAAATTTTTAAAAAAAATTAAAGCTATTTCCAAACTTCAAATTAATTTTTACAGCAGGAAAAGAAATGAAAATCATTATACAATAAAAACTGGATTAGAATCTTCAAAAGTCAGCATTTTGCTACATCATATCTTGTTAACAATTCTGAAAAAAGCATTCAATACTAGTTTTATTTCATCCATATAGCTAAGCATTCACATCCTTCATCAAAACAGTAAACCTGTATGAAAACTAATTAAAAAAGCAGATTAATGAGCAGAGAAACAACCTTACATGCTCTTCCTATATAGTGTGAATTTCCCTCTCTCACTCATTATCATAATTAATTTGGCATGACTAAAATTATTATTCAAAGAACATGAGATTGCTAAACTCATCCTTAGTTTCGGATGACTTCCATTTCAATTCTCAGAAAAATAGTAATAAACGCTTTGAACAACTCTATCAGATAGACAATATGAACTGGAATTCATTACGACATTCCCCAAATTCATGAGCAACGAACATTAGACATGTTTAAACTGGATATCTTTTCAACTGACATTCATGGAGCAATGATGAAATTACTAGGAGTTGGATCAAACAGATCATGTACAAAATGGTTCCAAATTTCCAATCATAAAAATCCAACAGACGTACATAGAAAAAAGCTTATTACAAACCAACAGAAAGAGAGAAAAACTGCAAACAAGGATATTAACAATAATGATAAAAGTGAAAAAGGCAAGGATGCAACATAGGGACAAGTAAACTGCAATAAAACTAGTGTATAAGTTCTAAAATACTGGTTAAACTGTTAATAAGGGAGCAACATAAAGAACACAAGTAAACATCAATGAAACTATTATATTAATCTTAAACTGCAAACCTTCCATATTTCTCTGTGGGAAAGATGATTTTGGTCAAGATCAAAAACTTTTGCATAACTGACAGTAGACTGGGCAAAAACCCATAAGTTAACTCCCCAAAGCCAAACCATCATAGTCTACAACGTGAAAACCAAAACATTTTCATTAGACAATAAAAAGAATATTAGAATTAGATTAAAATGGTCTCATCCAGATACCAACAATAAAAATTCATTACTAACCACAAGAAGGAGCGGATTGTAATACAAAAATGCCTCGTATAGAAAGAGGTCCCGCAAATCCACACTCATTCTCATGACAGAATCCCATCCAATCTGCAATTTTGACATGTACTGATTAAGGATACATGATGAAATTGAATGGTCTTTCTGATGTTCTGCGTGCTGCCATCAAATTTTAAATATCCAATTGCACAGATAATAATAACCATGGACAACAAATGAGTAGATATACACTCACCTTACAACAAATGAAACCCCAAAGACAGAACAATAATACCTGGACACCAAACCACATTAGAATCATCAAAGATGTAATAGAAAGAGAAAAAGACCAATAATAGGCATAAATTAGAGTAAAATCAGAATATAACCCTCTATAGTCAGAGGATCATATTCCTGGTAGCAACAGAATGATGGGTAGCATTTGATTAACATATATATCCACTCCACTCACACACTCTGTTTTTTTCATCCAGATGGAAGGAAAGAAAACAGATGTTACGAATAAATATTATGCTCCAAGCCTCCAACATTAATTCCTTCAACTAGTAGAACCAATCCATACAGATAGAAACAAACAGAAAAAATGGAATCAAATGCACGAAAGGTCAGTAATGTGGCGACCTCAAAGCCGATGGACCTCAGTCCTTGGTCAGATAACCAGGATATATGCAAATATTTAATAGATAAACCATAATCAAATTGAAAAAGTAAAATTCCTGAAAAATGTAGATATCAGTACATCATTAACAACAAAACCTTGAATCTCCACAACAATACTGGAGATGGCATTATTGCAGCAGTGCTAATTGGAGTAATCATACTCTTCAAATCATTCAACTCCATTGAATGGAAGAAACCTTCTTCTGCACCATTTCCATGCTCATCCACTGACAAATATTCCACAAGTATCAATCGGTAATTAGGCATAAACCAACATAAAATAAATAAATAAATAAACAGTAGAAGAAAGGAGAATAAAAGACGCTTAATACATCTAAAAAGACTTATAATGATTTTGTTCTACCAAGATCAGAGACAACAGGTCGGCTACCAGACTTCCTCAAATGCGGACTATTTCCAGGCGCTATCGCTTGACCTCCAAACATAGATGTAATGGCTGATAGTATTATTGCTGCCTACTCCACAAAAAGAACCTGCGAAAATTTGAAATCACAGACCACGATCAACCAATAACCAGAAAAAAGAATCATCAAGATGAAAATTGGTATAATTAGACCATCATGTACAATTCAGAAAATACAAATTCCACAAAGTTAGGAGATCTATAACTCAAATTTCACCAATTAGACATAGAGATGGAAAAGCAAATTAGGTGAAGAAAATCTGAAGGGGAACGCTAAAAATCAGGTCAAAATGGAGACAAGATAAAATGGAAAACGAGGAATGCGATTAGATAAAGATAAAGAGACTTACAAAGAGAGCTATTGTAGGCTGTTGAATTGGAGCTACGCTTGATAGATTCAATGTATGTTTATAGAGGTTCGAACAGTTTTCGAGGTTCACCAGATCCCTCAGTCTCTCTCAGCGACCTGAGATCTCACTGGCGCCAAAAATTGTAGCAGAAATTTGAGTGAGCACTAAGGAAGGGCCAAGTGAAAGAGGGAAGATGCAAATATTATTTTTTTGAAGGACTGATTCATAATTTTCTTGGATTTTTAAGGGTGCCTTTGGCCTCGGCTTCCTAAAACGTAAAAGGGAAAAGTGGCAGGCCTTTATCGGTTGAAATGTTTTTAGAAAGTGCTCCCCCCGTTCAATCTTAACATAACTCGTCAAAAACAAATGATCGAAATTTATTGATTTTTTATAAAAAAATATAAAAATTATTTAAATTATTTTTTTAAAATATAAATATTAAAATAAATTATACCTAATAAATATTGGTAAAATAAAAAAAATTAATATAATATTAAAGTTCTAAATAATCATTTAAAGTAGAATAAATAAAATATCTATTTATTATTATTAAAGTAGAACAGATGGAGAATGTTATCATATCTGTTAGGGCTTAATTACAAATTGAATGTCTAAACTTTCAAAAAAATTTTTATTTCAGTATCTAAAGTAAAAAATATTTACAATTACGTGCCGAAATTGTTCAATTTTTTTTAACGAAGTGTGTCCGTCTTAGGTGGCATGCCGTAATCACTAATTATTAAAAATAATGTTGACTAGGATGCCAAAAAGCTTGGCACGTCGGAATAACACTGACTACAACGCCATCATTTGTATATTTTGTCCATATGAATTGCAATTAATTAAAAAATTTTCATGACAATAATGTTTAATTGATCCAAAATCATTCCTGTAAAGCTTAAGATTAGACATGTTCAAACAGCTTGCTGTTTTGTCCAACACAAACATCTTGTTGTTTAAACATATTCAAACAAATTAACCATTTAATTAATCAATCGTTGCTGCAAAGCTTAGCAATGTTACCCAAAAAATAAAAGTAAGCCCTATTGAAAAACAAGTCCAACCTCCAGTTCAAATTCATTGAAGCATTTCGTCAAACATAACATACGCATAGCTACAACTACTACTGTCACTCTCACTTCAAGAAGATTACAACAACAAAAATAACAAGACTACACCATAACCATTTCTCTCTTCTCTGTCGCCTCCTTAATTGATCTTCCAATAAGTTTTTTTTCTAAGCAAACTAGAAATTATCTGCTTCGATCTATTGCAAATGGCGGGATAAACCCATTCGACGAAATTGCACCCAGTAGTCTGCCTCACCTGTAAATTTTAATTTCAAACCAATCACCTTCAACCCAAACGCAGTAAACATGGTGCAAACGAATCACCTTCAACCCAAACGCAGTAAATATAGAGGAAAACTTACACTTCTCAACTCATCACATAAACCTTCTACTTAGGTTCCAATCTGTCCAAGAAGTGCGAATGATGCACTACTTCCTGCATCTGAAACTTCATTTTCCATCTCCAAGGAAGAAATAATTCTATTCTCTCTAATCTCCTCTTTCAATTTTCTTATTTTAGAACCCTATTTTTTCCAAGCCCCTAGATGTAATAGAAAGGGACTTGATTTTGAAGGTGGAAAAATCAAAGTGGTATTTTGAGTAGGGTTAAGGGCAATTTTGTCAATTGCTTTTTACACTTCACTTTGACGTTTCAATGGCATCTTAGTCAGCGTTATTTTTAGCAATTACTAAATCCGACACGTCCTATTCATGTTTTAGGAGAGCCACGCAGGATGAATACATGATAAAAAAATTATCGATTCCGACATTTGATTGTAAATATTTTTCATTGAGTCACTGAAATAGAAATTTTTCAAAAGTTTTAAACACTAAATTTATAATTCAGCCTTTCTATTAGCATCGAAAGAATTTTAGGAGGAGACTTTTATTAGATTATAAAGTGGAAAAACAAAGACATTTACATCATCTTTTATTGCATTATGAATTGAATGAAATTAAAATAAATATCATATTTTAAAATTCTGATTTTAAAAAATGATAGTTTGACTTTAAATATTAAAATGATGTCATTTTCATTATTCCTTTACTATTTTACCATTTTGTTATCACCTTTGTTGTCGTCGATGTTGTTACTGTCATCGTCGCCGTTGTTACTGTCATCGTCGCCGTAGCCATTGCTGTCATTGATAAAGGTGAGCAACGCACTGGTCAGGTTAAAATTCGACTCGATCCAAAATACCCGAGATCCGAAATAAGGGGGAATGGCTCCACTAACTTGACCCCTTTACAAGTTCGGGCCCACTCGAATAACTTCTATAAAAATCGAGTCAGGTTATTGGGGCCTGTTTACCCCAAAATTCAATTAAATTTTTTTTCGGGTTGAATAGTTTTTTATATGGCTCTTGCACAATCAAATTTTTTTATTTGGATCCATAATTAAACCATAATGAAAAAATTGCCTAGAAAAATAATTGTTGTTCAAACAACCATAATAAAAAAAATCATAAAATAATAATCAAACCATAATAATCACAATCACACAAACCATAATTTTCTATGTTCAAATCATAACCAAACCATGCAAATTAAAAAGTCCTAATTAAGTACTTAACATACATAATAGAAATAAAAAAATATGAAAACTTAAACTAGTGAATCATAATTTTAGTTGCTCAAGAGAATACATACCATCTTCAAGAAAAATATTGATTTTGATTTGAGATTTTTAATTTTACAAGCAAAAGAAGAAAGAAAGGAGAGTGAGTGATATGAGAAAATAAAAAAAAAAAAAATTGATTTTTTCATTTTTTTTGGGTCGGGTCGGGTCGGGTCAGGTTAAACAGGGTATTTAACCGATTCTTCTGAACTGAATAAGAGATATACATCCCTCAATTTGATTGAGCTGACTCGACCTGAAAAAGAGTAAAATATTTTTACGTCCCTAAATTATAGTAAAATTAATACTTACGTCCGTTTAGTATTAATAAATAACTGTAGAGTCCCTAGCTTACTATTTCAGCCAATAAGCAAGTCCTTTCGTCTATTTTGAGTTAAAATCACCGCTAAAAAAAGAAAATTTCGAGGCTACCCTCGTAGTCTGAGAAATCAAACAGTTTCTCTACCATCTTCCTCTCTTCGATACCCACAAAACTAGTTCATTTGCTAAAGCAGTGATACGCTTCTCCACCCACTCCCCCAAATCGAACCAAAGTAACTCTCCCACTCGAAATAATGAATATAAGAGCATGAATACTTCGGTAGCAAAGAACTGGGTTAGGTCGTGGTTTTGATTTTGGAGAGTCGCGAGTAGGATGGAGAGGGAGGAGCATAAGGAGGGTTGATTCTTTTCTCTATTTGATAATTTGTAGAAAAAGAATTTATTTCAAAGGAATGCACTTGTTAGTAGGTGTTGAATAAACTTTAATATAGCCCAGATCTATTGTTCATAGAATTTGTTTGACAATAATATACAATAATCGGAAGCGTACCTTGATCCATAACCCAGATCTATTTCATAAGAATTTGTTTGACATAAGTATACAATAAATCGGAAGCGTACCTTGAAGCGTACCTTGATCCATAACGGCATATCTATGTTATGGGTTACCTCGTTGGGACAATTCGATTCTCACCGTAACAGCAGATCTACATTTCTTCACTCTGACCTTTTGTCCGTAAGTGCTCTCTTAATTGTCGGAGAATAATCAACAGCTGCATGAGTTTCTTTTATGAGCTCTCTCAAACAAACTATCTCCGTATGTGTTTTAGGGAGCCGTCATACTCTCTTGTTTCTGTGTTAACTCTAATTTGTTAATTCCTTTATTCTTTTATAAAGCAGAGGAAGGGTATTAAAACTCTAACTGGCTCTTATCCATTAAGCCTAATAACCATCATCTTGGGCCACCTTAATTAGAACCAGCCAGCCCTTTAATCACATGGGCCACATAAGATTATTAAAATAATCTAACAATCTCCCACTTGGCCCATGTGCATTTCTTGAGTTCTCATGTTACCTTATTTGGAATTAAGATGATCGGATTATGGCGGTCCACAAGTCATTGAACAACCATATTCCTTCCATATATTCACAGGACCACTTCAATTTCATAAAAACTTTTAATGAGAAAACTATTCAACAATCAATACATTGTTACAATTCAACTGTTTATTGTTTAATCTCACTTCAAACCATTATTGTATACATCTATAAATGGGATAACACATAAATAAGGGGCAAAACACATCTTTAATTTGAATTCCCAAGGTCCACAATAATATAGCAAAACAACCATATTGATATATAATATACAAGTTTAAACATCATGCTACAAGGACTTATCTATAATGCCCACCTATCAACATGGGCCAGTTTGAAAGATTCTTGGGCGCATAAGGCTTAGTTTAGGCGGATCCACTATCATCAGATCAGTTACCGATATGCTTAATGGCACTTTGTGTTTTTGCCACTTCGTTTCTTTCACAGATAGGTTACTTTAAATCCATGTTTTGTTTGCCCTTTTTGCACTTCTTCTTTCACAGATAGGTACTTTAAATCCATGTGCTTTGCACCCTTAGAGTACCTATCATTCTTAGAGAAGAAGACAGCTACGGAATTGTCACGGTTTAGTTATACTGTCGACAATGCCTAGACCTGAGACAAAGTTCCGCAACCACAATGCATGAACAGTGGCCTCAAAGCATGCCATAAATTCAGACTCCATAGTGGAAGTAGCAATGACAGACTGCTTTCCACTTTTCCATGATATTGCTCCTCCGGCTAGAAGAAACAAGTAGCCAAATGTAGACTTTCTTGAATCTACACAACCGGCATAGTCTGAATCCGAGTATCCCACCAGTTCTATGGACTTTCTATAAGTTGAGTATATGATCCTTAGTGCTTGTAAATTATCTAAGTACTTTCTTTGCAAGTTTCCAATGTCCATTCCGGGATTACTTTGATATCGCCTAAAATTTTCCTACGGCGAAACTTAATATCCGTCGAGTCATGTCTGAACATACATTAAGCTCCCAACTACTGGAACGCATATGGAATAGACTTCCATTCTTCTTTACGTTCCAAATCATTTTTTAGGACATTGCATTTTGCTGAACCTATTCTCCGTTTCTGAATTGGAACTATTTCTTAAACGAGCATCTTTCCATTCTGAATCTCTCTAATACCGTTATCAATGTAAGCTCTTTGAGGACAATTTCCTAAACAGTCCTTGTGATCTATCACGGAATTATTTCTTATTTCATCACAAAGGATGCCCTCTGCCCATTATCTTTCATTTTCAAAGTTTCTTAGAGAGAAACCCTTTTACATCATGTAACATCCCAAAATTATCATTCGCAGCAAGAAGAATGTCATCAACATATAGGACTTAAACAATAATGAGCGTTGCTCCCCACTTGACCTTCATATAAAAATACACCGATCAACAGTGTTATTCTATAAAACCATATTGCAAGTTGATTGGTATTATGAACTTAAGATACCATTGACGGGAAGCTTACATATACAAGATCCATATATTGACTTTCTTTAACTTACACACCAAAATTTCCTTTCTGTGGCCACAAATCCCTCTGTTGGTCCATAGTATACTTCCTCCTCTAGAGCACCATTAAGGAAAAGGCTGTCTTTACATCATTTGGTGAAGCTCTAAGGATTTCATAATGAGCCATCAAAGCCAAAAATAATTTCTTAAGGAGTCCTTTTCTGGAAAACTGGAGAAAAGGTCTCTTTATAATTCAATGCCCATCCTTCTTGAGTGTAACTTAAGCAACAAGTTTGGCCTTATTATCTTTCCAATGTTGCCCTTAATAGTCCGTCTTTGGTCTTAAAAACCCATTTACAACCAACGTGTTTTGACCCTCAGGCAACTTCGACTAAATCCCAGACTTTGATTATCACTCATTTGATTGCATTTCTTCCTTCATGCATTAAAACCCACTTTTTTAGAATTATCACATTCCATGGCTTCTTCTGGAAAGAGATGGATTCCTTATTCAATGCTCATTCACATTTCATGTTCAAGTGAGTAAACCACATAATCACTAAAAAATTAGTTTGGCCTCTTTGCCGTTTGTGACCTCCGTAATGCTATTCTTGTGAAACCACTTTGATCTTTGTGAATTGTTCATCATTTACTGCGATTTCATCATTTATATGGTCATTTTGTGGTTTGGAATGTTGTTTTGTTGTTCAATCATGTTGTTAAACCGTGATACAACAAGTGGAACAACAACGAAGAAGAGACATTAGGAAAATCCATCTGAGTTGGATTTTCAAATCTGAATCTCTTCACATTCACCTTACGTGGTTTCACTGTCCCAACTTAATTTGGCCATTTAATTAAACCGAGCATTACTAGACTCAACAATTCTCGTACTATGGTTAGGACAATAAAATTCTGTACCCACATTTTGACTTTTTCAGGATATTCCTTATGAAGTAAATCCACTTAATCCGCTTCTAGCAATCAAGCTCTTTTCTTGTGGATTATATATCCTTACTTCGCTGGGCAACCCCAACATGAGATGCTTCGACTAGGTCTGTCCTTCCCGTCCACAGGTTCATTAAGGGGTCTTAGAAACTGCCTTACTAATA